TCCAATAACGTTGTCTTCAACTAGACATTTCAAGACTTGTTCAACTGAGAAATTCAGCTTCTGGAATGGAGTGAATTGCCAAGGCCACGAATTGCCTCCCATCTCTGAGTCATTATCATCTCCTACCATTTTCCTGGCTCGAAAAATTGCAAGAGCCCCAAAGATTGCCAATGTTACGGTCAAGGTAATAAGTGAAGCAATGGCAATTTTGAGTCTTTGTGACTTCCTAAAACTGCCACTATTCAGCATTCCTGCAGTTGTGGCATTGCTCAGGAAACATGACTCGTGGCCAGTAGAGCACAACCCCTGGTTTCCTGCCAGCTCTGTTGCTGATAATTGTCGAAAGAGTTTACTGTCCGGAAGATAGCCACTGAAATTGTTGTAAGAGATGTTTAAAGAAACAAGGTTGTCAAGCCCAGAAAGTGCAAACAAGTCACCTCCAAGCTTATTGTGTGAAAGGTCTAATGTGGATAGTTTGTTGAGAGCAGAAATCTGAGGTGGAATTATCCCTGACAGTGCATTCCAACTCAAATTTAGAGAAATGTCGAGAGCTTGAATTTCAAACATTTCAACTGGGATCATGCCCAAGAGGTCATTGCTGCTAAGATCAAGTGATTGAAGACTTGAACAACGACCTAGAGAAAAGGGGATTGCTCCAGAGAGGGAGTTGCTACAAAGGATGAGTCTATTAAGTGATGTAAGTTGTCCAAAACTTTCAGGAATGTGACCTGAAAATTGATTTACTGAAACATCTAGCACCTGAAGCCTACTGAGTGAAGCTAAAGAGCTAGGTAAAGTACCTCCAAGGGTGTTGTTGCTGAGGTTCAACATCTGCAATTGAGTGCAATTGCCAATCTCATCTGGCACTGATCCAACAAGATGATTTTCAGACAGGTCAAGGAAACTAAGGTTATTGAGGAACCCAATTTCTTTTGGAATCTCTCCACGGATTCTATTGCTTACAAGCCGAAGCCGTAGAAGAGAACTGCAATTGCCAATCTCTGGAGGGATCGAGCCTGAAATGCCATTAGAAATTAAGAGCAACTTTGTTAAATTTTGAAGCTGAAAGAGGCCAGGAGGTAAGCTGCCAGTGAGTGCATTGTGTGACAAATCTAGAGCTTCAAGACTCCTGCAACTAGCTAATGACGATGGAACGCTTCCTTCAAGCTTATTTTGCCAAGCAAAGAAGACTTGTAGCTGTGTTAACATCCCAAGCTCTGCTGGAATAGAACCCGATATCTGATTGGTATCAAGCTGCAACTGTAATAGGCTTGTGGCATTTGAAAGAACTGGGGGGATTGAACCGGAGATGTTATTGTTACTTAACATAAGCTCTTGGAGATTTGAGAGATTTCCAAAAGACTGGGGTATGCTTCCAGAGAAAAAATTTAAAGAGAGATCGATAGTCTTCAATCTTTTACAGTTACCTATTTCCTCAGGAATTGGCCCATCAAAGTTGTTTTGCCATAGTAACAGTTTCTCCAGCTTTAGTAGCTTGCCCAGCTCTCGTGGGAGTGAACCTGAGAGATCATTCTCATAGAGAAACAACACAACAAGCTCTGAGCAGTTGCCTATTTCAGGGGGTATCTCACCAGATAGCATTGTAGTATATACTGATAGTGTCTGAAGCTTGCTTAGTTTACCCAATGAAGCAGGTAAGGAACCGGCAACTTTAGTATCAGCAAGACCAAGCACCATCAAATTCTGGCAGTCTCCAAGCTCATCCGGGATTTTTCCTGCAATGTCTTTGTTTCCTCCAGCTCGTATAACTTCTAAATTAACCAGTTTGCCTAGTTCAACTGGAATATTCCCGCTTAAGTAATTGTCGAATATTATGAGATTCTTGAGGTTTTTGCAACCACCAAGCTCTTTTGGTATCTCACCCGTAAGCTGATTGGAGTTTAAAATCAAGTCCTGAAGATTAAGGAGCTTCCCTATGCTCGTAGGAATGCTACCAACAAGACTGCTTGAACTAAAATCTAAAACTGTCAGTTGAGTACAGTCTCCTACATCAGGTGAGATTGCTCCAGTGAGATTAGAACCAGAAATGGTAAGCTTTTGGAGGAAGGGAAGAGAGGAGAAATTTGAAGGGAAGGGAAGTTCTAGCTCAACTGACTGGATATTGATTTCAGTGACAAAGTTTTGGGAAGAACAAGTAATGTAAGACCATTTGCAAGGATTGGAATCTGAAAGTTTCCATGTCGAGAAAGGTGAAGGTAGTGAGTGAGAGTTGTTAAGCCAAGAAACTAGCGTAAGAACTTCAATATTCACTGCAAAAGCATTAACAGATAGTAAAAGAGAAATGAGAAGACGGAGGAAAAGAGGATAGTGGTGGTGGTGGAGGATGCTGAAAGATTGGCTTAGCATTGGATTGTGGTGGTGTTTGTTGAAGAGTTGTCTCGGCATCGGCATTGGCAATTGCTTCAAATCCCAAACCACTCTTTCTTGGTTTTGCATTGGGTCTCTCTCTCTCTCTTTCTTGTGATTCTTATCTCAGACACTCACTCAACAAATGCTGCCAATGCAATTAGTCTATTACAACTCTATTTACTTTGCAGGTAAGCAAGAAAAGGGTAGAGGAAAAAAAAAAAAAGTGAAATAGCAATAAAAGATTGCAGCCACATTACAATCACCATCACCCTCGGCCTCGGGGTTCTGTTCTTTTTCTATATCTTCTAGTCTTTTATATTAAGGTAGGTGTTGTACTATAGTCATTACCAGATACCACCATGTGTTTTTGCATTGTTTTCCTCAACATAGTCAGTGACGCGGACTGTTTTATTTTTTGATAATCGGACCACTCTTTTGAAACCCAGTTGCACCATTGATTCTTTTTTAGTTTTTTCTCAAAGAGGAAAATTTGGTTTCAAAACTTCATGAAAGCTGCTTCTATAGTGTTTATCATCATAGAGTTGTATGGAAGTGCTTCTAGGAGATGGTTTTTCTTCACTTTCATAACAATGGCAGATATATTTCTTCTTTAACATTCAGTATCTATTAATCTTTGAATATGACTACTAGTTTCTATAAATTCATTTCCCAGATGGAATTTCTCTCATTCTTCTCTTGAGCTATGTTTTCCACTTTGTATATTCTCTTTTCCCAAACAAGTAGCCATGGCCAATATAATTATGTAACAAAAAGCAAATTATGCTACACGGTTAACAAGAGAAGCATAAATATTTTCATGGGACAGATAGAGTCTCTGAATGCAAAGCATATGTACTACACTCCGTAATAATCACAATAAGAAATCCATATAGATGCATCATCTTTTCTTTGTTTTCTTGTCACTGGTAGTCTTACTATATTTAATCTAGTGTGAACAAGAGTACCATTGGCATTGGGCTCTTCACCACAGCCATTTGCACTGCTCATTGTTCTGTTTCATTGAAACTACAAAACCAATATATATAAGAAAAAAAAAAAAAAAAAAATCATACAGCAATTAATCTATATACAGTATCAATTGCTTCTCAAACTACAACGTTAACTTTTGTTTTCCTGTATTAGCCGGCCCTAGCTTGTAATTGGCTCTAACTTTCCCCCGTCCAAGGCATGTGTTGGGGTTACAATAACTTTAATAAAAGGATAAACCCTAAGGCCCTCTAGGTCACCAAGTCAAAAACATATTACTTTTAATCCAATAATTTTTAGTTCATCTTTTGACTGTTGCATTGGCTTCAATAATTGACACAACATGTTTGAACAAAATACCCACGAATAAAAAAAAAAAAAAAAAATCTAACTCGAGCCTAGTGTCCTCAGCAAGTAGCGAAGGAAGAGAGAAAAAGGCTAATCATATTGCAAATATTTCAAATTTTAGTGTAGCTAGGTAGGATAGTAGTATTATTTGTTTGTGGTGAAATGAAATTGAATACGTGATGATCGTGTTATTGAATTTGGAAGTGTTGAAATTAAAGGGCATCCCTGATTTTGAGGGTAAATCATGTGGATGAATCAAACTTTAGCCATTTGGCCTGACTAAACCTACTCCGCTTTAATTAGCTAATAATACTTGCTTAGTAAATATTCAAATGCAGGAAGAATGGTGCGCCGAGCCCAGAGTTCAAGGGCGTGACCTTGGAACTCCCACTATTGGAATCTATACACGTTTTGTTTTGACAAATTCCTAATCAAATTTTTCCCAGAAGCATCTCACATCGCCTTTACCAACTTAAGCTACCACCCACCCCCCATTAAATTTTTAGGAGACAAAACATAATCGGAACCATACTTTCTTCGAATTTCTAGGCCTCGACCATTATAGCACCACCACATGCTTATTAATTAGCATAATAACAAATAGGGAACCAAATTGTACCAATATTTTGTTAAGTTACCATATTCTAAAAGTCCACCCCTATTACTCAAACTTCAATACTGTAATAACTAGTGCACCATTTGCATTATTGTAATATACTTGTGAATTATATGTTAGAAAATAATACAGTCATCGAAAGTAGTACACTGAATTCATACACCGAATGATGTGACACAATCTTAACTGTTGATTAATTATAAATTAATATTAATTGACGATCAAGATTGCGTCACGTCATTCGATAAATGAATTTGGTACATTACTTTCAGTGACTATAGCATTACTTTTATATGTTTATCTCAATTAAGAGTATATATATAAGAAGAAGAAGAAGAAGAAGAAAATTAAATAAAAATTTTATCTATGAAAATTCTGTAAAAAATCCTCGTAAAAAAATAAATACTAATTTTTTAAACTTCAAAAAGAATTACTTTAATGAAACATGATAAAATATTTTGAATGGCAAGACAACCAAACGAAGGTTACCAAAATTGGGCCATATCGGGTTGTCGAAACAGGCCCAATCTGTGATTCCATTCGTGGTAACTTTGGAGCATAACTTATTTTCTGTTGAGTCTGGACCGGGTCTAGCTGACTGGCATGGGCCCTTTCCCTCCATGATTTTGCGGTTGAGAGAAAGCCTTAGCTTTGCCGTTTGGCACCCAACTCTTGGAGTCTTTCAAAACAAACAACTTAGAACGACATAAAGTTGTTTTTTATTCCAATTTTCCTTCAGTTGCACACACACTGTAAATTTTGAAGAAACATTTGCTTATATATTATGGCCTCTTCACTTATTCTTCATAATCTGAGTTCGATTTCGCCTGCCTTTTCAAAATGTTACAAAAACCAAACCCTAGCACTTACTCACTCGCAGTTTCTTCACTCAAATTCATATTTAAAGTTGAAGAAGCCATCTCTGCTCTCAAATGTCAAAACCAGGAACCTCAGAGCCCAAAAACCTCGTTCATCACCCCTTGTCTTTGCTGCTCAATCTAGCATCGTCAAAAGTTAGCTTTCCTCTCTTTAATTTAATTTCATTTGGTTTGCACAGCTTCTCTGCTTTTCTTGGATTTTAATTTTCATTTAATTTCTTTTATGTATTTTTTATCACGCATTGGCATTAGGAATTGCAATGAAAATGTTATTATTTTCATTAAGAAACAGTCATTTCGTTTGTTTTTAAATGAAGAGACTAAACAATTATAAGGTTCACTGCCTTGTCAATTTCTTTTGCCTATTTATAAGGTACCCTCTCACATCCCCAGCGGGTCTCGTTGAATGTTATATGTAGTTTTGTCTTCAGGTTAAGATCCTTTTGTCAAATAAATTCAATCATGTTTGGATAATTCTATAAGATTAGTGCTTGAGGTTGTTGGCCATGGATATTTTTTTGTTTCTTCTGGAAAGCTTCTGTTTCAACAATTAATTCCTGGTAGGTCATTCTCTAATAGAAGTTTACTGCTGTGGTCCTGCTATTTCAAGTAAACAGCACACTTCATTTGAGTTTTTTTCACACGTTCTTTGCTAACTCCGACCTTATCAATTCCTTGAAATAGTTCTGCAGACAGTTTGGAATGTTGGGAAGGATGGAATTGAGGCCGGAACCAATCTGGTGCCTGTAAGTTAATTTTCTCCCTCTAGAAATTTTGTGTTTCAAGTTAAAGTTGCAGTTAAAAGATTGCTTTGTTCATCGTTTTGTTGCTAGGCCTCTGTACCAAGACCAGTAGCAAGGATTTCAATTACAGCTGTGGCATTGGCTATTTCACTCTTTTTACTCAAGTCATTCGTCTCTACTGCTTTCTTTGTGCTGGTGTGCAGTTTTTTTTCTTATTCTTTCCTTTTATTAATTTGTAAGGATAGAGGATTGATGATACTAGTTTGCTATGTACGAAATGTTTAGAATATCAGTAGCAGTTTATGCATATGAAAAGTTAATCTTTTTTTTTTTTTTTTTTTTTTAAAACAGGAAATTATCTACCTATCTGGGGCCAACACTAACTTTCTTAAAGAATATTGATTTTGTTATTTTATTTTTCATTTCTTTTCTTAGGACTAATTCTACCATCATTATGACTTGCATTCATTTCGTCCGTTAAAATGGAATACTGCCATTAGAGTAAAAGCTTCTAATAACTGAATTATTTCCTATTGACTTAAAATCTCTTCATTTTCAGCATGTTCTTTAAGTTGGTAATCATTTAGAAGTTAGACATTTTAACCTTTACTATAATCTCACAATTTGTCTGTTTACTCTTAAATTTTTATACTATTTCACAGTAACAATTATTCGCTGTATTTAGAAGGAACAAAAGATAAGAAATCAAGATATCCTCTAAACAATCTTTCTAAAGTGGCTTTTGAGCATTATATTATATTGGTATTTGAATAATATATTCTCTGTTATGAGCAGGCCACGATGGGATTGGCATATTTCATATTCATTGCCTTGAACAAAGATAATGGACCAAAAGGGGGTGGTGGTTCCAGTTCCACACCTACCTCTACGGAGGACTCTCTTGAAGAAGCTAGAAGAATAATGGAAAAGTACAAGTAACAAATGCAGGAGGGATTTAGCCTGCTAACAATCAATCATCCAATTTTTGTTTGATTCACTTCTTGGAGAAATGTTGTGGGTATTCACTGAATTGAGGGAACAATAAATCTTCATAAATGGAATGTGTATATATTTTTCGTTTTTCATAACAAGGCTCGCCATATGTCGCTATTCTCCAGTGATGTTATCTTGGGTTAGCTTTAAGCCATGGTTCTGTTTATATGCATGGTGATAGAATAGCTTCTTTATATATTAATATTTATTTTTTTTATTTTTTTTTTAAAAGTTATAAAATGTTATATTTTAAACTTCAATTCGGTAGCAGACCAGCTATTTGCATATTGCACCGTACTAGGACTTTATACGCATCTTGAGCAATATGCCTATGAATTTTTTCATTGAAACTTGATCGGACCTGCTTCCTTTACATAGATACAAGCAGCAAGGCTGTTGATTTAAAGCTATCTGGTGCTTTTACTAGACCGTGGCACTGTGTTATCAGCAATGATGATGCTCTGTTCCTGAATCCTGAGATTCATATAATTTCTCTTTTAATTGTGCATTCTGTTGTGTTCTTTACAAATGCTTTTGAGAATGGTGAAGTAACTTTACAATCTGGGATTTGGCTGTCATTTTGTGCCATACAAGGTCATGATGCATTTTTAAATCACAATTAAGGACTAGATTATTACACTATGTACTATCGAGTATTGAGACATAATCACAGCCAATATTTATGTTTACATTTCTTTTCTCAAGTGAGTACATGTCACAATGTCTCATTAATACTGTGCTTGAACCTGTCTTGGTACAAGAAGCACTATTCTCATTAATTGCCAACCTGAGACCATCGTGGCTTCCTGCCATTTTAATTCAATCTGATTGTAAAGCCGAGCTTCGAAAGTTATGATTCCAACTTCTCCTAAAGCTCCAACTTTACTGTATTCGTAAATGGATATAGGGAACTAATTTTTTATTCTTTATTTTATGGACAGGATCTCTTTGTACCGATAAAATTGAATTATAGGGGAAAAAGTAGGTATCTTGAATGAAGGTTGAAGGAATGTAGACAGTTTTTTTTTTGCATAAAAATGTTTCAATGGATTAACGATTCTGAAATTAAAAAAATTATTGGGAAGAGAATAGCAAATAGGGCTATCCCATTGCTGAACTTGTGTCATAAAATATAAGACACTCAGTTTAACACCGATGTAGAAACATACATAACAGTTAACATTAATTACCTACACAACAGAAGTTTGATAAATGCGAACTATTAATTATTCTTCTTCTAGAACTTAGGCTTCCATGTTGATAATGCACCTCAAACCCTGCCCCTTCAACATGAGCTCAAAGGCCGTATTGATTTCTGAGAAAGGGACATGATGGGTTATAAACTTCTCCAGTTCCAATTTCTGCATGAAATTATGACATCAGATTAATGTCATCTGATAATAAACAGTCACCCTCTAAAAGCTGCGAATGCCGAAGAAAAAAACTAATTACCTTGTTCATGTACATATCAACAACAGAGGGGAGGTCACTCCTGGGTTTGTAGTTGCCAAAGAAAGTTCCTTTTAGCGTCCTTTCATTAAGGACATTGATGGGCTTCGTCATAAAGACTGCATCCTTATTTGGTACTCCGACGAGTACCGCCACACCCCATCCCTGCATTGTAATGTTCAGTGGATTAGCAATAAGCTTACGTAAATTGAACTCAAAATGAGATCACCTACGTCATGAACACACTCAAAAGCTGAGATCATGTTATCAATATTGCCCGTGCACTCTATGCTCCTGTCAACTCCACCATTTGTTATTTCTGCAATAACCTGTACACGTTTAAGTAGAGTTATAGGAGTCAGAGTACCGCTGAGATAAACTACTGAATAATATCAAGTGATCCAGTTATATGATACAGTGAAATAAAAGCAATTATAAACGATAAAAAGAGAGGAAACAACACCTCTTGAATGGGTCTGTCATGTTCCTTAAGGTTAAGAAATTCATTTACCCCAAACTTCTTGGCTAACAAACCGACAAGGATGACAGATAGAGGATGAAGCAATAAGTTAGTTCCACGTTCTTCTTTAAACAATTTTTTTCCACAGTAGATGATAAATTGATAAACAAATTATAAATGTTACCTTCATCAAACCTCTTGGAGCTCCTATCCACCCCAATAATCCTTGATGCTCCAGCAATTCTTGCCCCTTCGGCAGCCTAAAAGGTAACAGAAAAGTAAAAGACGCTCGATTTGGGGAAAATCTTATTCATAAGAGAGTTGAATAATAACAAAAATTAGCCTAAAACTTACAGCTAAACCAACAGCCCCTAATCCAAAGACAGCAACTGAAGAACCTTTTTTAGGTTTTGCCACATTAAAAATTGAACCCAATCCTGAAATTGAGTAGGTAGTTAGCTTTACATTAGCACTTGATATAAATTTCATCTTCAATATAGAAATTGGAAACTACCCAATGTCACAGAAAACAACCTGTTGAAATGCCACAACTGAGGATGCATACTTTATCCAGAGGTGCTAATGGATTGATCTTCACAACACACCCTGAATGGACAACCGTGTACTCGCTAAAGGTAGAGGTGCCAAGAAAGTGATTTATCGGCTTCCCCTTGAGGGAAAACCTTGAATTTCCATCAGCAAGCATTACTCCTCTGGTCGCATTTATTCTTAAAAGGTCACACATGTTGCTTTCTTCAGACTTGCAGTGCCCACATTCTCCACATTCCCCTGTAAATACTGGAAGCACATGATCCCCTACATCAAGGTCTTTTACTCCTTCCCCAACACTTTCTACAATTCTGTCATAAAATTAAACTTGGCAATGAGAATAACTTTACATTGGTAACAATATGACTCTATGAGCTATGACCAAGATCATACCAGAATAAGATAAAGAATTGAGAGGCCATCAGGCACCAAAATGATTCATCGTGTTTGAAATTAATCTATAACATTATGTCATAATAATGTAAAATCAATAGCATACCCAGCTGCTTCATGGCCAAATATTCGAGGAAACAATTGTGTGTTGCCCTGAAATACCAAAACGCAAAATCTTAGGTTTAATGAATTGCTGCGTGTGAGAAACTTGGCATTTGACAACTACTAAAATCAGGAACTACTCTTATTAAAGCCGATTACCATTTTGGTATGTTGTTAAAATATATATATCTTTGGTACGGAAAACCTTCCTTAATATAATACCTTTTGGACATACGTTAAGGATGTTGAGGGCATTTATTGATAAAATGTTGGTACTGAGTACTGACCTTGGCTTCCCAGAAGTGGAGATCAGTGCGACAAAGTGAGGTGTATTTGATTTTGATCCTTACTTCCATGGCCTGTGGTGGAGCAACCTCCACTTGCTCTATAACCAACGGCTTCCCTGCTTCCCATGCGACCGCAGCTGCCAAACAACAACACAAAACCAAATTAATATCCCTGCACTGCACCGAGGATAATTTTTTTTAAGAATTTATAAAGTTAAGGATAGAAGTCACAACAAAAAGATAAAACTCATAAACCAAAAGGTCTTTCAAAAGAAGTGATCAACTGATTTCATTGAAACCTTTGCACGGAATCACAAGACCAGCAGAAGTCGACATGGTTGATTCAATACGAGAATGAAAACTAAACACTTTCCGTCTTCGAGTTTGTAATAGAGGAGGAGCACATGTTTGTGTCCTTAATCTTGCCAGTGTACCGGAGCACTAACATGTGATACTCATTCATGAATCATGACCCATCTATAGATACCGAGCGAAGAAGGTTTAGTCAAAATCCAATGACAGGTGGCGGAGAGATAGACAAAATTAATGCTGTACAAGTACAATGATTATCCTTATATAGTTTGGACTTAAGCTATGAACGAATACACGAGCTATGTTTTACAAAATATCTTTCGTCCGTGATGACCCGCGCGCCAGGTAACTTCTTTCCAATAATGCTAATTGATCGTTTGTGTGAAATTACTTTAATAGCCATCAAGAAAGATCCAAGACATTAGACTTTTATCACTCTTGTCAGGTCTTTTCACAATATCATATGATGATGTATTTGTTTTACTCCGGTTGGGCATATTTCCGAATTACCGCGAACAACCGGTTCTAAATTCAAACTGTAATTTGAAAAACAATATCATCCACACAGTCTCATTCTCTTCGTTTCTCCACAATCAAACTCATGAACTCATCAACACTATACAAACCCACCGCTACAAGTTCATCACAACACCCATCTTCACTCTTCCCACAAATCACAAAATGCAAGAACATGAGACATTTAACCCAAGTCCACGCCCACTTTATCAAGACTGCCCAAATCCACGACCCACTTGCCGCCGCCGAGATTCTTCGCTTCTGCTCTCTCTCCGACCGCCGTGACTTAGACTACGCGCGTAAGGTTTTTAACCAAATGCGTGAACCCAATTGCTTTTCTTATAACACTCTTATAAGAGCCTTCAGTGAGAGTAATGATGATGAAGCTCTTCATGCCTTGTTATTATTTTATCAAATGATTTGTGATGGGTTTGTGTTACCTAATAAGTATACATTTCCTTCTGTGTTAAAAGCCTGCGCTAAATTGGGGAAGCTTTTAGAAGGAAAACAGGTTCATGGGTTAATTGTGAAATTTGGATTTGTTTATGATGAATTTGTTGTCAGTAATCTTGTTAGAATGTTTGTTATGTGTGGCGAAATGGATGATGCTCATATTTTGTTCTATAAAAACATTGTTGAATTTGGTAATGGTAGTAAGTTAGCGGGAGATAAGAGGAGGCAAGAAGGTAATATAGTTTTGTGGAATGTGATGATTGATGGGTATGTTGAAATTGGAAAGTTTAGAGCTTCTAGGGACTTGTTCGATAAAATGCCTCAAAGAAGTGTGGTTTCGTGGAATGTTATGATATCTGGGTACGCACAAAATGGGAAATTTAGGGAGGCGATAGAGATGTTTCACGAGATGCAAATGGGAGATGTGCGTCCGAATTATGTGACTTTGGTTAGTGTTCTTCCTGCAATTTCGCGACTTGGGGCTCTTGAATTAGGAAAATGGGTGCATTTGTATGCAGAGAAAAATGAGATTGAGATTGATGATGTGCTTGGATCAGCACTGATTGATATGTATTCTAAATGTGGGAGCATTGAGAAGGCAGTTCAAGTCTTTGAGAGGATACCTAAATTGAATACAATAACATGGAGTGCTATGATTGGAGGGTTTGCCATGCATGGCCGAGCAAAGGATGCTCTTGATTGTTTCACAAGGATGGAAAAAGCTGGTGTAAAACCCAGTGATGTAGTGTATATTGGCATCCTGAGTGCTTGTAGTCATGCAGGCTTGGTGGAAGACGGTCGGTTCTTTTTCAACCACATGGTAAATGTTGTTGGTTTAGAACCTAGGATGGAACATTATGGCTGCATGGTTGACCTATTAGGTCGTGCTGGCCTTTTGGAAGAAGCTGAAGAGCTTATATCGAACATGCCATTTCAACCGGATGATGTAATATGGAAGGCTTTGCTTGGTGCTTGTAAAATGCATGACAATATCGAGATGGGAAAACGTGTAGCAAAGGTTTTAATGGATTTGGCTCCTCAAGATAGTGGAGCTTATGTGGGTCTGTCAAATATGTATGCCTCTTCAGGAAATTGGGAAGGGGTAGCAGAGGTGAGGCTAAAAATGAAACAAATGGACATAAGGAAAGACCCTGGTTGTAGTTGGATTGAACTTGATGGAATGATTCATGAGTTCCTTGTGGAAGATGATTCCCATCCGAAAGCCAAAGAAATCCATTCAATGTTGGAGGAAATATCGGAAGAATTGAAGTTGTTAGGCTATAGACCAAAAACCACACAAGTCTTGCTTAACATGGACGAGGAAGAGAAAGAAAGCACATTACACTATCATAGTGAGAAGATTGCAATTGCATTTGGCTTAATAAGTACAAACCCTGAAACAACACTGAGAATAGTCAAGAACTTGAGGATGTGTGAAGATTGTCACTCTTCAATAAAACTAATCTCGAAGGTTTACAAACGTAGGATAATTGTAAGGGACAGAAAGCGATTCCACCATTTTGAAAATGGGTCGTGTTCTTGTATGGACTATTGGTAACATCTGTCTGTGTTAGCCTAAAATGATACTGCTAATTACTTTAGTATCAGGTATTTGATTGGGAACTGTACAATTGAGTGGATGAAATCAATTGAAAATGAAACATAATTAATCTAATTGCATTTTAAAATTATATAGTTTTGTTGATGCTGAATTTTGACACCAACGACTTCGCACGTGTAAAATGCTAAGAAGTCACACGTGAGCAAATTATAGTGAATAGGTGAGATACTGTTTGCACGGTAATACGCAAAAACATAAAAAATAAAGGAGACAGTAAAATTTTTATAATAGTTTATATGCTTAAAACGAATCATACATCTACTGTGTTCTTTTATATAAGTTTGTTCCTAGTTGTTAGACAGGATTACAAGAGGTCGTGAACTGCAATCTGATATTACAACTGCATGGTGTTCTAAGTATTCTTAGAGAATGTCAAGTCAGTCTCTTTCTACTAGTATGTTTTTTGCTATTTTTTTTTTGAATCCAAGGGTGTCTCCTCCCGACTTTGTGAGGGGGAGTTGCTTATTTATACCCGTTGTACTCAAGACAATGATTACACTTTTGTAAGTGGCCTGATGTCCTGTAGATCTCTCTAGCCTTCTCATTCATTGAGAACTTAAAGAATATCCTTAAATTAAATAAGGTTTGGACAGGTGTGCGAACCAAATTCATTCATAGACAAATTCTTGAGTCGATTGTTGACAACTATATTCTTTTTGTCTTTGGAGACGTCACATGCTTTGGATGGTCTTAAACTTTGATTGGTACTCGATGACATCAGCATAGCCCAGCCCTTATTTTAGGCCTAATATAATCACAAAGGGGAAATCTTCAAAGAATTGAACCAATATCTGCAATTCCAGGGTGCTGGTTTAGAATTCAATTCAAATTGTTCAACCAATTGATTTGATTAAACAGGTTGAATCTATTATATTAAAAATTCAACTCAATCTATTTGATTGGTCAGTTGAATTGGACTGTTATTTCCTCTCATCCAATCTAATTCAATTTTTTTTTATCATAAAAATCGAAGCAGATTTTAAAATTGGAGACTACTCATCGACTTTAAATGGATGAACACCTTTTATAATCATACCCTTAAAGAAAAAGAAAAAATATAGTTAAATTTGGAATAATATCAACTGCAAACACGGAAGAAGAAATCACAGAATTTCAACACAACATAAGATGCTTTTTTCCTTACTTATTCAAAGGCCTGCGTGGGCTTTGTATTATAATGTAAAAATAAGAAAAGAAAAACTCTAATGAATATGTTTCCACCATGCCGGACAAAGTTCCATGCAGATAGAAAATTTTATTGGGTATTCTGAAGTGTCAACGTATATTCAAATGATGAACTTAGTCCTCACTTGGCTTCCCAATTTAAAACTCCGCCTTAGTGCTTCACTCTTGTTTGAAAAGTGTTAAAGATGTAATCAAAACTTGATCAAAATATTTCTGTTTCAGATTCACTTTGTGCCAATGACCCATAAGCAAATTTTATGTTCCTGGTAGACAGAAACTCTACCAAAAGAATGATCCTCCAATACCCAATTTTCAAAGGTCAACAACATTATCAGTCTATATAAGTAAGCTAGCTTTTTATTTACAGCCATGATTAGGATATGTGGTTGAAAATCTTGAAGTGATGATAATTGTAATGAAAATCATGTTAAGGAACCAATCATTTCAGAGACCGGCGTGAGTTTGAATAGATAAAATGTCAAGAAACATGAAAAATTAGATGTTTGATAAATGGGGTGTCTTTTCATGATATCTCAACCCCTTGCTTATGACTTATGAGACCCATCTCTTCACAATATTTTCTGCAGTCATAATTCTATTTTCCATCATGTATTGAGAAGATGAGTGATTGTTTAATGTGGAAATGACCTTTTGTACCTAGTCGGAGTTGAGACCCCACATGATATTTAGTATAATTATAGTTAATCATAACTGAAATATACTAATTAAATTCCTGCTTTCTCAAGCTTTCATGTTTTAGTCCATGGATGATGGACCCTCTTCACTTCTAAGCCGCGGACATAGATTCACCTTTCCGTTTCTGGATTGCCTTTGCTTTTCCTCTTTCACCAACTTTAACATGCACACTTAATCTCCACCGTCGACATTCTTACTCCATTTTATACTGCCCCACTCATCACTTTATCAACACCACGCGTATCATGATAAACGAAGGAACATCATATATTCCATGCACCTGCCTGTATCTTTCACTTCGAAAGACAATACTTGGTGGCGTCCTGCACAACAAATGACAATCCTTTTTTTCTCAAAAAGTGCAAAGTAATAAAAGAAACAAAAACGAAAAAAAGATGTTGAATTCCAGCGTGAAGAGGCAAACACAATAATTTATGTTAATATTCATAATTAATGTTGAAGTTGTTTTCAGGTGGTACAGCTTCCTCAGTTGTTATTTCTTAAACTAGCTTTCATTAACGTTAAATGATGTATTTTATATAGAGTCAAATCATGACCGTAGAATTATTGGACTATCAGATTATCCATTAGTCAACACTGTGTCAGCTTTCCCCAAAAAGAGAGAGAACCTCTTCTTTGAACTTAACAAAACCGCCCTCACTACCAACTTTCCTCTCTCTCTCTCTCTCTGTCTCTCTCTGCTACTTTCATGGCGTTTTTCAAACTTTACTCTTCCTACATTTTCCTCTTCTTGGCTATAGCCTTTTCCGCTTCACTCACTGAGTCACTATCTTCGTCCTCTTCACAAGATGTGGAGCTTCTCTTAGGAAATATCAAAGCTTCACTGCAAGGTAATACTGACAACTTGCTTTTGTCTTCATGGAACTTGTCTGTGCCTTTGTGTCAATGGAGAGGACTCAAATGGGTGTTCTCAAATGGCTCTATTCTCTCTTGTACTGATCTCTCTTCTCCACAATGGACTAATCTTTCTCTTCATAGAGACTTATCAATTCACCTTTATTCTATTCAGCTCCCATCAGCTAACCTCTCTGGCTCACTCCCTAGAGAGGTTGGTGAGTTCTCTACGCTTCAAAGTTTGTATCTTAACATCAACTCACTCAAAGGAACTATCCCTCTTGAGCTTGGTTATAGCTCTTCACTCTCGGATATTGATTTGGGTGATAATCTTTTTAGTGGTGTTCTAGCTCCATCAATTTGGAATTTATGTGATAAGCTTGTTTCTCTCAGGCTTCATGGGAACTCACTCTCTGGGGCTCTCCCTGGACCTGCACTGCCTAATTCTACTTGCAAGACCTTTCAGTTTCTTGATTTGGGTAGCAATAAGTTTTCAGGGAGTTTCCCTGAATTTATAACTAGGTTTCCTAGTTTGAAAGTGCTTGATCTTTCGAATAACATGTTTTCAGGTTCAATTCCAGAGAGTTTAACTGGATTGAACCTTGAAAAGTTGAATCTTTCATATAATAACTTAAGTGGGATGTTGCCATTTTTTGGTGAGTCAAGGTTTGGTGCAGAGGTTTTTGAAGGAAACAGTCCCAGCCTTTGCGGGTTACCTTTAAGAAGTTGTGGTGGAAATTCTAGGTTGAGCTCAGGTGCGATTGCTGGTACAGTGATTGGATTAATGACTGGAGTGGTGGTTTTTGCTTCCTTGTTGATTGGTTATATGCAAAATAAGAAGAGAAGAACCGGAGGAGATAGTGAGGATGACTTAGAGGAAGGTGAAGATGATGAAAATGGTGTTAATGGTATTGGTGCTGGTGCTGGTGCTGGTGTTGGTAATGGTGAAGGGAAACTGGTTCTGTTTCAAGGCGGCGAGCATTTGACACTGGATGATGTGTTGAATGCAACAGGACAAGTTATTGAGAAGACAACATATGGGACTGCTTATAAGGCAAAGCTTGCAGATGGAGGGACCATAGCTTTGAGGCTGTTGAGGGAAGGCTGTTGTAAGGATAGGAGTTCATGTTTGCCTGTGATAAAGCAACTAGGAAGGGTTCGACATGAGAATTTGATTCCATTAAGAGCTTTCTATCAAGGAAAGAGAGGGGAAAAGCTACTCATATATGATCATCTTCCCAACAGGACGCTCTATGATCTTTTACATGGTATGCACTTTTTTTTTTCCTTCTGTTTTGCTCTTATGCATTTAACTCATGTGCGATTAAAAAGCTATTGAGAATGCTGTATTCTTCTATATTCATGTATGCACAAGAATTGAACCTCTTATGATCATAGTTCTTGTTGATGCTGAAATGTTGCTCCTGTCTTGGGGCTTAATTGATGAAGCTACAAATAAATGTGGAAAAAAAAAAAAAAAAAAAAATTCAGCAAAGCAACCTAAACAGTGTGCATTAATACCCAATGTTACAGAGTTCCAATTATATTGAAATGTAAGAGAGCATGTATTATCCAAAACCCACCGTAACGTGAAAGTCCTAGAGGAAAATTTGGTGGTCATTCGTATTCAAAAACATTCCCTCCCTCTTTCAGCTATCGTCATCTTGTGAAGTTGTAAACAAACTTCAAAGTGTGTGATAAAGAGATTGCAATCATTTCTTACACAAATCTTAGAATCCTAAGTATGCATTGTCCTAGATGATACTCAAATTCCTATTTTTTCTTATTTGAGTGGTGCTCTGGCTTAGACGGGGTGTTAAGGTTCAGAAGCTGAAGCAACATTTGAACTACAGAATTAGGTTTCAGGGCTAGGTGCCTGGTCAAGATCTATAAACTTCAGTGTGGCATTAACTAAGGTTCACTTCAGTGCTTAAATAGTATTTATTTTATTAGTATTCTTAATTAATGTAGTTTATCATTGATATATGACTGTCTTACGCTTGATAATTTTTCTCTTGCTGACAATATATGCTCGGTTAGTCAGTCCTGGAGTTGGTAAAGAGCATTAATGCCCAATGCTTGTATCAACTCAATGTTGATTTGTGGCCATCAACCTGACTCATAGTCCATATCTTCACCACTTCAAGTGATCCTAATTTGGTTCCACCATTACTACATATGAGTCAGTTGTCCATGATAATTCATATCTAGAAATCAGTTTGAGTGTTTATATCTATTTGCTATTCATGAATTATGGGCAAGGAATGCAGAATAATCAGTGTTATATTTTATCTGATCTGCTTGAATGCAGATACTAGAGCTGGAAAACCAGTGCTGAATTGGGCTCGGCGACACAAGATTGCATTAGGTATAGCCCGGGGACTGGCATATCTTCATACTGGTCTTGAGATGCCCATTACTCATGGCAATGTAAGATCCAAGAATGTGCTTGTGGATGACTTTTTTGTGGCCAGGCTTTCTGATTTTGGGCTTGACAAGCTTATGATCCCTTCTGTTGCCGATGAAATGGTTGCACTTGCAAAGACTGATGGGTACAAAGCACCAGAGCTTCAAAGGATGAAGAAATGCAATTCCAGGACAGATGTTTATGCCTTTGGGATACTTCTGTTGGAGATTTTGATAGGAAAGAAACCGGGCAAAAATGGGAGAAGCAGTGAGTTTGTCGACTTGCCGTCAATGGTGAAAGTGGCAGTTTTGGAAGAGACAACAATGGAGGTTTTTGATGTGGAGGTTTTGAAAGGGATAAGGAGTCCAATGGAAGATGGATTAGTTCAGGCATTGAAGCTTGCCATGGGTTGCTGTGCTCCAGTAGCTTCAGTGAGGCCGACCATGGATGAAGTTGTGAAGCAGTTGGAAGAAAATAGACCAAGAAACAGATCAGCTTTGTACAGCCCAACTGAAACAAGGAGCGAAATTGGTACCCCCTTCTGAGCTTTGTTTTCTAACATATTCTTAAAATTATGTGGTATACTAGTTACCATATTCTCTCTCTCTCTCTCTATCTCTCTCTGATTAAGCGAGTAATTGTAGCGAATGGTGCAATGTTTCCAGAATGAAGGTTATAGTTTTGTGGATGGAAATTCAGTTCTTAGTGATCTCTATGTAATTCATGACATTTATCTTGTAGTGTTGATTTTCACTTATTATTAATTTTGTTAAATCTGGGCCTAATGCGACTACAAGTGTTTGTGTTTATTTATGATGACATCTAATGCGCTTGAAAGAGTAGACTTGCTATTGTTGTTGACGTCAGCCTAGCCTAGGCCGTTTTAGGGCCTTAAAATTGAATACATAAACTACAGAAGAATTTATGTCTTCTAAGGGGTACCTCAGTCCAATCACATATCTGAGTCCGCACATTACGGTTGTATTATTTAATTCGGCTCATGAGGCATAGAGCCCCATCCACATGGACACTACATGACATCTCCACGTTCCATACATGTGATTCGGTACACACAAAAATCCAACCGGTTGTACTTGTAGTTGTATGTAAGGAACGCATCACATGCATTGGATCAAATTCCGCAACATAAATAATGCATGTGCCAGTGAGAGCCAAGCACATAAAAGACTCTGCTTGCAATTAACACCATTCCGGTCATGTGCATTTTGTGTATAAACTAATTTTGAAGCAGAGTACACTTAGGAGAAGAAAATCCATAATTGCAAGGCACACTTAATTTTTAAAAAGAAGTGGGCTAATTGTAATACCCACGTAGAGAATCTTTTACTTATGGGAGAGATTAACTTCTTCCCATTAAATTAAAGTACAAGTAGATACATACACACAGCTGGGTGGCCTGAAACGGGTATATTTCAGGAGAAACGGAAAGGCGATAAAGCAATTAAAAAAAGAAAAAAAAGTGTGAACAACACTACGGCAGGTAAAGTATGCCGAGGTCGATCAATGGCATTATGACAAGTGAGCCCATGTATATGAGATGACATATGACAACTGTAAGAAAAATTTGTACACTTGTCAAAGATTTGGTCGGGGACAAAATATAAAGAACGGTTGTAGACACTACTAGACAGAATGACTGGCTGCAAACTTACTGGATAATGCTCTTAAAAGGAAGAATTTTTTTTTTTTTTTTTTTTTTTTTTTTAATATGGGAGTTGTGGTGTCTATAGGATTGAGAGAATTAACATTGTCTACCACGGCGGCAGGACATGGCACCAGCACTAGAGGTAAGAGTGCCAACCAAGGAAGAGGATTTTGCACCTAAACTTGAGGCTCTTGCATAGCTGGCAGCAGATTCAGCTCCTGATGAAATGAAGTAGGCTCCATTCAGCAAGAGATCTCCCTCTGATCGCCAATTCCAACTCTTCCATACACCACTTGATGTATCCACCCTCTTTGTTACCTGATCACATTACCATTAATATATAGTCAGAATTTTGGCATCTTTAGCTTCAATTTATGCAATAAATATTCTTATTTCTATTAAATACCTCCTTAGCAAAGGAATTTGACGGGGCAAGGTATCTGTTGCCCTGGCTGTTAATGGTGGGATTAGCACTTCCACCGATGGCATACATTTCCCAGTGTGTGTAGTCATTATTCACCACGTGGAAATACCCATGCCTGCACCTGCAATTAAACCCACATTTTCTCAAGTCAATCTAAAGCTTTTACATAAGATTATATTTTTCTTTGTAAGGGTCAACAAATAAATTTTAATGTTCATATTAGATATAATACCTTGGCATTCTCTGGATAAGACCTTCACCGAAATGGTTGTAGGCAATGGTCACTTGCATCTGCTTGTCTCTTGTATAGGAGTCACTGTGTCCCAATAGCATAACCTGTATAATTTATCAGATGAGAAAATCTTAAGTCCAATTCGGTAATTACATAAATTAAAAATTTATATGAGGAGAAATATTAAATACCTCGTTATGGTGGGTGAAGTAGTTGTTGGAAATAGTAATTGCTGTTGAGGCCATTATAGCATCAATAAGACCATCAGCACAATTAGCAAGAGAATTGTGGTCGATCCAAATATGGCTTGCTCCAAAAATCGAAACGCCATCTCCATCAGCCATTGTCCTCCACCCATAATGACTCGGGGAGCTTCGAACCATGGCATTGCCAGTTGGTTTACAATCATGGATATGTATACCATGAATAATGACATTGGTAATGTATTGAATTGTGATGCAAGCCCCATTAGCAATATGGACATTGACACCACGACCATCTATTGTCTTAAAGCTATTCATTATAAGCTCTTGCTTGAGTGTAATCACCATGTCCCGCTTGAACACAATCCACAAAGGCCTGTCCTGGATGACAGCATGACGGAGTGTACCTGGTTTGGGATTGATAGGGTCGTCATCGCTTGGGTCACTTACGACATAGTACTTGCCATCACGGCCACCAATGGCATTCCGTCCAAAACCAATGGCACAGTTAGCAAGACGCTTTCGGCGCAAGTGCCATTTAGGGTCACAGCGCCAGCAATCATCTATTGGGTTGCCAGTTCCACATGAGAAATATCCCAACTTTCTCCTTTCAGTGCTATTGCGAATTGACCTGATAAATTCCAATATCCTCAGTTTTGATTACTACTATCGAACTTCTTGATTTGATAAAATACTCAAAAGCATGGGAAAATTAATAAATAAAGTTGATGGTTATTTAACATGACAATATTAATGTGTCAAAGTCATAACTCATTGTAGTGAGGGGAATTTAATTTCATGGGTTAGAAGCATGCTGTCCCTAGGCTGGCCATGTGACTTAATGAGGGAGATGTATACGGATAGATGTATACGGTTCATACGAAACGTTGGAAGACCACATTTCGCTATGAGAAATAAATGCTAAGGTGGGGAAAAACTAATCCCTGTCTGGTACTTTGTGAGTCGGTGGACATTAAAAATGGGGCACATTGATTAACTTGGCATGTCAGTATAGCAACTACTAGATCAGCAAAAAATTCCACCGAAGTTTTCTTTTATGAAACCAGATCTATGATTTGAGGTTTTTCGACCTCTTGGCTCTTGACAGGCTGTATAAAGAGAGCATAATTTAAGTAGCCTACCCCACAAAAACCAGATATAAGACATGGCATGAATTTATTGTAGTTTCAATTGAATGCAGTTGGATATTAAATTAAACTGGGTAGATTCTTATTCTCTTCACTGCTTTCTTCTATGCGTGGTTGTGGTACAAAGTAATTAGGTAAAATCTATTGATAAAATCCATCACCAAATCATTCGATTCCGACAACTGAATAAAGCAATTTGGCACCTATAATCTTATACAATCAGATATCTAATAGAAAAAGTCAAGTTATCATAAACGGATTCCCATGCGGAATCTCCCAGAGAAATGAAGACAAACATGGGCTTTTGTTAGCTATAATATGATATACTTAGCATCTTTTCTATATAAGAATATTTCATTTAACCAATAGCTTCACAAAAGCAATAAAATATGGCTTTACAATTAGATAGAATAGAAATCTATCTAAAGTTAAATGAGATTGGCACAGGCATAAAAAGTTGATGTTCTTAAGAGAGATACTTGGATAAGATAAAAATAGGACAAGAAATAAAATAAGTGCGTAGTGCGTGGATCTCAGGACATCGGCATGTGAGTAAGCGCTGGCCGCAAGATAACAAGAGTAAAGGGATTGCAACAGATGAGATGAGAACGTGGTTAGCTGGTTCTTCAAAATATAAAGGGAGTCCCTTCATGAATAATAAATCAAACAGGGTCCCATGGTTTATCTGAAAGAATTATTTGCACCAGCCAATCAGGTAACCATGTTTACATATGTCTGATGACAGTTAAAATAATCTTTTTCATTTTATTTTATTTTCAGTGCGGACCGTTGTAAGTACGATAAAACGGACAAGAATGCAGATGCAGTGACTCCTTTTGACTGCAACTTCTATGGTAAAGTAAAATTTGACTAATTGACTGCAACTTCTACTCACCCACATCACATGAGAAGACGCCAAGAAGTAAAAAGGACGTGTCAAAGACTCATTAAAGCGATATGTTAGGGTCATGTGAGGCCTCGTGTAGGAGATTATTCTAAATTCTATTTGGTTATAAAATGACAATGAATAAACAAATGAGTAATTAAATAATAACCAGGAACCTATCATTTTGTTTGATACGGAGAGGAAGAGAGAGACTCACATGTCAACCATAGCAGCCACCTCCTCTGGATCATCAACAGCGTGCTCACTCTTTGAATCATCGGAGCTACAAGTAAATTAAGCATCCGCAAGTTAGAGATTTTCTTCCTAGTTAAATGGAAGTGATGAAAAAAATCATAAAACGGCACCGTCAAGAAGTTGGCACGGAGAATCTCACTTTGTAAACTAGTAACTACTAACTAGAGGTAGTCACCATCAGCAAAATTGCGGACAGTGTGTTTTCTGTGGTCTATCAAATCACTAACCTAACCTCAGGCTTTTCTGTGGTCTATCGAATTACTTATCTAACCTCAGCATATTTATAATTTCATACATGCGAAGGTATCAGGATGTTAGAGGGTGATTTCGTACATAAAAAACCTATTGATGTCACCGTCAGTTGATTTTACAGTCAACTGTTTCTTTTTTTCCTTCTCGAGGGTTGACGGAGCAGTGAAATCACTAACGTAACCGAATTAACTATCCAGATTTTGCAGATCCGAATTAACTAGACGGTCCAATAGTAAAAAAAATTAAAAAGAAAAAAAGGCCCTGCTAAATTTATTTTCCTAACGGGCTCAAATTGCAACAGTAGAACTGGTTATCAGTAATTACACTAGCCTGTCCGCCATGGATGAATTGTTGGAGTTCTTCAAGAACCTGAAATAAGAAACATCAAAGGTAACCAAAAACACAGTAAGTATTCAAATAACTAAAATAAGCTTCCACTTCATAGAGCTCCGATGAAACAAAATATCAGTGTGGCCTAGAATGTGACACGAATTTCTAGAAATTCTTCACGTAAAAATGTGAGAAAATTTGAACCAATTGGTTTGTCACTGAACTAGCATAAGATGGCTTACCTAGACTTTAGCTCGTGCTTCTCTGTTGAGGCTTTGACGCCAAGAAACAGACATAGAATCAGTAATGCACATACAAAGCTTATCCATCTATGAGAAACCGCCATTGTTGCTGCTTCGAAGCTCTTCACTTTCTGTCTGTCTCTCTCTTTTTTTCTCTATTCCAATAAATGTTGCTGTCTCTGTATAAAATCAGAGAAGATGAAGAAAATGAGAAACAAAATTGAGTCTAAGAAAAAGCTGTGCGGAAGCCATCTTTATATAGCGGAAAAACGTTGGGTCGTAGCCAAATAATGCCTAACTCCGTTAATCACAGTTTGATTCTTAACCATGGTTAGGGTTAATTAACCTTACCAATAACCACATTTAACAACCTCCCTAACTGCCACTAACTGACTCCCTCTCTCTCTCTTTTCTCCAAAAAGACTTTACTCCTCCCACGTGTCACGTGTGTGATAACTCACTTGTTTCGCTGCCTCTCTCTCTCTGACACCTCAGCCATTCACCTCCGGCAGCACCACCTCCACTCCACCTCAGCTTATTTATTTTTAACTCCCTATAAGAGTTATTTCGTAGTCGTTATTTCTACTCGCACAAACATGATTGCCACGTTGCCACGTGAACAACGTCGAGGAGTAACTGAATTTCAGATCACTGTATACGACAGTATTTGGACAGATGTCCTTTTAGAGGTACGGTAAATGTATTTAATAGAGAGAGCGAGTACCCTATATCACCGGTTCTTCCGGTTAACTGTTCCGTACTGAAAGTCAAAAATCGAAAGAAAATAATTAATGTGCCTTGATTTCTAAATCTTAAATAAAAATAAATTATTTTATGCTAATGTTTCATTGGACATGCAATGACTAGTGTCCATAACTTGATGGGTTTAAATTGTCGTTCCTAATCTCCTAAGACGTTGTCTAATCTGCTTCACCAATTTTATTAATTGGGATAAGTATTCGAAATAATTGAACTGGTGTAAATTATTGTTTGAATTATAATTTTATCAGAAAGAAAGCAATTATTGTTGAAATTGGGTAGAGTATCTCAAATTGCCTCGTTAGGTTCAGTATTTGAACCTTAATAATGTACGCATCTCCATTATACTGTAACCCCTTTCTGTTTACCATAAATAGTTGAAATATTTGACACTGCTATTACTAGGCTTATTAAATGCGAGAATTCTGCTATTGATTAAATCCAAGCCTATATTCTAAAAATTTATTTATGTGTTTTCTTTGGATTTCATAGCAATGACCAATGAGATGGGACCATTAAATTATATCAGAAATGGACAAATAAATTGGATTGTTTTGAAGAAGCCTGCCTAATAAATGGCGTGGCATAAATTCCTATATGTCTGTTAAATTTCCAAATATAGATTCAAATGTCTGACCAAATTGTAGATATAAGAAATAATATTTTAATTGAGTTGTAGATCACATGGCTTCTCGCCGCTAATCAAGCCCCCCTGTCCTCCGCTCAATTCATGCTTCCCATCCTTTAATTAACCACCTTCCTAATCATAAAAATAAACAAAGAATAAGCCGGCGGCGGTGCCTTGTTTTAAGAACTTTTATACTATATATTTATATGGTGTTTAATAATAAACAGTATTAGTTAGTTTAAATCCACAAGTAATATAACCCGTTAATTGTGCTGTTTTCAAGTGTTCGTTCATTTTCCACTGTAAATGATGGGATGGAAGAAGTTAGTTAGGTGTGTGACAGAGAATGGAATTTGTTGAAGAAATTAGTTTGTGTTTGGCATCCAAATTAATATATTGAAATCAAAAGTCTTAACCTCAAGTACTTGTGGTTTTTAACAGATAGCCTACAAAGCGACTTTTTGACCCTTTCTAATCTCTCCATTTTCACAACAAAACTCCAAACTACTTAATGTTAAATTACTACTTAAGATTGGCCCCAAAGAGAAGTGGAAGTGAAACCAACAGTTGATTATGAGTTGGTATTTTGAAGTTAGATTTGACAAATACACCTTTCAAAGAAGAGGAGGTCGGATTAGGTCTAGGTCATATTTATTTGTTCCACAAAGTCAGTTGATTTCATACTAACTATCATAAAATTCTTCAAGTTGGAACTGACGTTGGAGAAAAGGTCATTTTAATGGAGTTGTTTGTGACATCTCAAATTGGTCAAAACTATCTTTAAATCGAATAATTAAAGTGATAGGTAATGACCAACCAAAACGTAAGTCTCTTAGTCATGTTCCTAAATTCCACATTTTAGCTAATGTTTGTGTAACTCCCATGTCACGGTTGGTTCACACTGCCGGTAAGAACAAATTAATTAACATTCATGGTACAGTAATAATTATGTTATATATCTATATATAATTTGTTGATGCTTGATTTTGACACCAACGACTCGCATGTGCAAAGCGTTAAACGGACTTAGAAATTACATGTGATATGAAAATGTGCTACGAAAGAATAAATGAGAAGCGATTTTTAAAGTGGTTCAGATGTTCAAAAGCGAATCCCACGTTCACTATGGTTGTATTAATGGATGGTTACAGTCAGGTCACGTACAATGAGTTGAATTACAATCTAGAGAGAATTTAAATGTACAGAGAGAGAGAGAGAGAGAGAGAGAGAGAGAGAGTCTGCTTTTAAAGACTAAAAATGAGTCAATCCCGTAAATGAGAAAGGAGCCCTCTATTTATAGTTAGGGGATTCAAGGTAGTAATCATGATTATGCAGTTTGGCAGGTGTGGTACAATTCTTAACCCGTTTCCCATTGGTTGTCTGCACGAGAGACATCCTTAAACCGCATAGGGCTTGGGCAGGTAGACAACTCCTAGCCACTCACAAGTCTGGCTTTCACCTGCCACACTGATGATAGCCTTACCTCTTCTGCCTTTGCGCGACGTGGCAGCGTCTAGACGACACAAAGTCTTCCTGAACTCTGATTGGCCCTTGCTGGCATGAGCTCATGTCAGCCCTAATTTTTTAGGCATAACAGAAGCCCTCTAGTTTTTAAGATTTAACTATTTAAGGATTGAACCTTAGGAACTTCATGATTATGCCGTGACTTGACTTATCCCGAGTGACGTCTGATCGAGCTGTATGAGACAAAAAGGTAAGATAATGTGAAACTAGTGGTTCAACCCGACCATCGAGCTATAATGAGGTCACAGCATAGGTCTCTAAGAATAACACAAGCAACTTGAGACGGCCTTCTCCCATAGGTTCAGCAACTTGGGTCGGACCCTACTCAGTACTATACCAACATGCTTTGAATTTTATCCGTCGCTCGCGACCTGAAAATACTTAGCACATTTTTACCGAAAGTAAAGAATCACATCGTCTCGAAATCAATACATGGCGAAGAGTGTTTTACTCGAACGACCTCTTTAAATGTTATCCGTTACGCTTGACAGCTAGTCTAGTAAATAAAATAAACTTTATTCTAACAGACGTGTCTATTGCGCAATAAGTGTCAACTATGCGCATTAAATATAAACCATGTTGAAACGGCATTCCCTTTCAGAGCATTAAATACGGGTGAGGGCGCATTTAATGTGGAAGAGGTAACCGCGCCGACATTTGGTTGCTCCAATGGAGGGAAACATTGATTGACATCCATGAAGCATGAAGGTTACTCTTCTCGTGGATTAACGACACGTGGTCGTAATCAATAGCAATAAACGTATCCTGCCCAAGCGTCGCTTGCTTAGGGAAACCAATCGTCGTCTTTCCCCCTATAAAACCCCAAGTTCGCCTCAAGTTTTATCATAAAACTCACATTTTCATAGAGAAAAACAAAACTCTTGCACTCGCGAAATCAGTCCGTTCTTCTTCCAATTAATGTGCACTCTTCGTTATAACAAGAAGTTTGTTTCCAGCAGTCAAGAGGTAAGGAGGACTTCTCCTTCGTTTTCTTCTATAATTTTTGTTAATAGCTTGACTTTATAGTAATGGTGGGTGTGAACTGCCTGATAATCTTACATGATGCATATTTATGGACAATGGTAAGAAGAGAACTTTTTTCTTTGTAAAAAGTGAGAACTTAGGGCATGAATTCTTGATTCGCAAGGGTTTTTAGGGTTTTTTTGGGGGTTAAGGAAGGTAAATTAGGGTTTCTTTTGCTTTTCCACGTCATCGTATGGAACACTGTACGGAGACTGAGTTATCTCTGCATGTCGCCCTTTTTTCAGACTTTATGAGCAATGGATACTTCAACGACTAGAGCAGTAGAGGGGACGAGCTCGTAGGCTCGGGGCCCCTTAGCAAGTCCCGTGCAAGAGGCATTATCAATGGCCCCCCGGGACGAGATACAAAAAGTGGTGGACTAGTTTGCACTTAGCGTGGATGTCTACCAACATAGGACATACACAGTTCGAAATCCTCCAGAGGGAATAGCCACGATCTCCGAGGCGATTTTTAAGTGTGGAGCATTGATACCTTTTCACTCCTTCATTAGATCGATCATCGACCACTTCAAGGTCGCACCATTACAATTGACACCTAATGCGTATATAATAACAGTTGCTATGTATATCGCATGTGGCGAAAATGGTCTTGGTGAGCTGACAGTGCTGGAGCTAACATGCGCTTATTATCTAAAGAAGAGTAGAGATAAAGATTTTTTTTACCTCTCGAAGCGATCTATGATCGAGAGAGGAATATTTGGTTACCCTAGTAACGTCGAGGCTTATGAGACCAAATTTTTATTTTTTGAATATGATGGTGTTCGCCAATTTAGGGAGTCGAGTAGGTTTTCCTTTCCTTTGATTTGCGAACTGTCCCTTTTTTCTTCAGCTCGTCTTATATTTAACAAACTTTTTGTTTCTTTGCAAAAAATAAGACAACCAGATTGACGGCTCTAACAGACTTTAACCGAATTGTAATATTTGGTCATCTACCCGAGCAGAGTCGAGATCGAGACTACTCATGACTACTGCCAACTTACGAAAGTATGGTTTTTTCAATCCGGAAGCATCTTTGGAACTCTTAGCCCGTAAGTATCTTCACACTTAGACCCCCTTTCTTTTGCCTGAGGTGACCTTTTCGCTAACATGCTTTCATGGCGTGCAGCAACCATGCCACCCAGGGTTCCAAGGCCGTCAACAAGGACTAAGGGGTTCGTGTTTCCCCAGGTCAACCATGGAGCGATGTGAAGAAGCTTCTCGGCTCGCGGCTACTCGCGCCGCTAAGTAGAAAAATATGGGCCAAAAAACCAAGAAGAGGAGGAAGTAGCTGCTTGCCGAGGAGGAATCGGAGTCCGAGCCAGAGGGCTTCGGGATTCCGCCGAGGGGATCATAGCCTTACCAAGCTTTTCGCTCGGGGGTGCCCCCGAGGAGCACGCCTGACACTTCGGCGATCCTCGAGAGCTCGCGCATAAGAGAGGGGGAGGTCGCGGTTACCCAAAGGAGAGCGGGCAAACAATTGGTCGACGAGGTGTCGGTTCTTCCAAGGTCAGACACGCCTGTGCTGGATTCTATGGGGTAACTCCCGGAGCACCTGAAACCGGTGGTGTCTACCTTGCTGGAGTGCCAACTGGCTGCGGCCTTCGAGAAGTTCGTGGCTTCCCGACCTACGGACCTGATGGCTACTGGGCTTCAGTTGCAAAGTCGGGAAAAATAGCTCGTTCTTGTTGAGGGCTTTCTAATATCAGTTGATTTTCTAACTTTTATGATTTTTGGGAAAAGGGAGGCTAACTCTTGTTTCTTTTCTCATACAGTCCTTGCTCGCCTTACATATGGCCCAACAGAAGATCGACATAGACTCTGCTTGAGGGTTCCATGAGCTGAGGGAAGAGAATACCAAGCTGAAACAGGACTTCGCGGCTCTAGACGCAGAGGCGAAATCTGTCAACATTCAGGTGAATCAGTACTTGGCAGAGAGAAATTATGCCCTTAAATCGTGTAGGGCTTGGGCAGGTGGATAATTCATAGCCACTCACAAGCCTGACTTTCACCTGCCACACTGACGATAGCCTTACCTCTTCCGTCCTTGTGCGACATGACAGTATCTAGACGGTACAAAGCCTTCCTGAACTCTGATTGACCCTTGTTGGCGTGAGCTCACGTCAGCCCTTATTTTTTAGGCATAACATAATTAATTATATAAATCTTTTTAGCTTATTCTTTATTAGATTAGATGCTACATATACATCACATCATTTAATTACTCAACCTATTCTTCATATAATTTATTTTTGTTAATTTGGGTTATATATATGAGCCATAGAATTGACTTATTCATTCATCCAAGCACGTCGTTTTGAGGATATAGCATGTGAACTACTTTCAAATTCTAACAACCCTAATAGGTACCGTTTCCCTTGGACATTTTAAATATATTTATACACATGCATTTCCATAAATACCATACTTTTAATTATATTAATTTTTAATAATTAGGTTAAATATTGCGAATATTCTAAGCTAAAGTAAGAATACCAGGACATGCACATCAATCCAGATTCCAAATCCCATGTATTATCAATCCTATGATTGCTTTCTTTTGTAAACAAAACCAATATTTTTTAAGATTTATAAATTAAATTAATATAAGTCTTCTTAATTTAATTATATAAAAAATAAAAATGGTTTTTGACATGACACGACTGCCTGCCGGCTCCGAAATTTTAGTTGACAAAACTAAGCTAATGCCTGTTCCTTCTCAACAGAGATGCATCTTCTCTTCTTGTTATAAATTTATAATTCAAGGGTGCTCAATTAATTTATTAACTTTAATATACATATATATTAATTATTTGGGTTGGATTAATTAATATTGTTATCCTTGTTATTAAAAGAATATAATATAATTAATTAACCGTACATTGTGTATTTACGGGAGAAGTTTTGTACTTAGATTGATAAAGTTCATGTTTGTGCACTAATTCGAAGACCAAGACCATTGCGAGCCACAATAATCCGCATTGACCTCAACACCATTTATTTTTAAGATGCAACTAATAATAATAATGCATACGGGAAGTTATCCATAACCCTTTATTCTTCGAATAATACTATACTTACAACTCTCTCTCATAAACTTTCTCTCACAACTCTGACGTGGCTCCTTGTAATTGGTTAGTTCATAATGGATCTCCACTAATTAATTGCAAACTGATCAATTACGAGCTATCACGTCAAGATTGTAAGAGAAAGTTTGTAAGAAATGATTGTTAGTATAGTATTACTCTTATTCTTTATCATCCTATCAAGTACACAAAAATTAACAAAATATAAATATTTATTAAAAAAGTCCCTTTGTGAAAGGAATAATTTATTCAACAATTAGATAACCCAATCACATAATGAAAGATTAAAAATCAACACACCATATTGATTAAAATCTAATTATAATAAACACCTGGGTTGTCATTATCAAGCATAATGTGAAAAACGAGATCAAATACAAACTTATTATAAAAAATAAAATAAAAAAAGAATGCATTTGGAGGTGGAGGATGAAAATTAGGTTAAACTTGTAAAGTGGGAGCGCATTTGAATAAATTCAGAGAATGTAATAACTAGAGAACAATTATGGAATTGAAAATTGGAGTGTTGAGGGTGATTCATTGCATGCGTATTATAGTGACATTAGGAATTGGTTCATTAGATTTATTTCGATAGCTACAACGTGTACATTTGACTTCATTATTGTCTGAAAAAGGGTTTATCATCATATCGTCTTTGATTAGAGAGCCGAGTGCGGCATTTGTGCCACCAACTCTGCAAATCCCAGCAACAAGTTTTTGTTTCTTATTAATTGTTAATTTCTGCTTTAGGCATAATTGGGCTTTAGACTTTGAAGAAGAGACTTGTTGAAACAGAGAAACGTTTGCCACCAAAACATCTTCCCTTTTATCTTCATCCAACCCAAAAGATACAAGGAATCATGTGCACATGTTTGGTGCAATATCAAACCAAAAAAGCCAGCTCGATCCTTATAACTTGAACCTGACAACAACAACAATTGAAATTGGGGTTCATCAATTAACTTACACGTGTACAGTGTCTCTGAGTTGTTTTATCCATTAATACTATGAACCCACATGGAGATTATCTGAATCGATGTGATACACCCCATGTGGTTTTTATTGCTGGCTGACTTGTGCTTTTGTTTTCTTCATAATTTGGCAGCTGGCACTCAGCTGAGCTTCAGCTGTCCCTGATGGGCTTGTTCTCTATCATCTATTTTGGTTGGGTTTTGTCACAGCCCATATGCTCCATTGGGCTGCTGTTGAAGTTTCAATATACAAGTTCAAACCTAGTCTTAACGACGTTGGTTTTAATTTCTTAAGCACGATTTTTTCTAGATATTTGAGCACTTTATGTTTATGTTGCCACAAATCCTTTCCATCAATGACTATGCCAGCGACACTGCGACTTCACAAGACTCGAAACACGGGAAGGCAGTGGTTGCAACTTTATATGTAACTGTTTACGAGATCGGCCAGGCCTCGCATTAACAAGAAACGGCCCAATGCCCTTTATATATTATATAGAGTAAATGGTTTAATGTTACTTTTTTTATCTGCATATTTTTTTACATTCTACTTTTATAGCAATATTTATATTTATATTCTATTTTATCACCGTTCTCTTTCTCAGATCATCACTCATCAAAATCCCTCAAACCTTACTCTCGTCAATCCTTCTAATCGCTAGTAAATGAGCGACTATGGTTTGCACAACCTCTCTTCTCAAATCAAATTTTGATCAATCTCAATCACTAAAATTTAACATTCTACTGCAAAAAAACTCATCGGTCTCTCCTCTTCAAAAACCCAATAGTCTGGATCGAGTTTACTCTCAATAATATAAATTTAAATAGTAAAATAACATTTTTAAAGCTTGTGTGGGAAGAAGTAGTTAACTCTATTGGTATTTTGTTTTTGGGAAAGTGCATGAACTTGGTCCAATGTCTGTGCATCACAATAGGCACCATCACAAGTCACATGACCTGTGCGTTATGCCATCAGTTTAAATGTATAACTCAGAGGCAGCTTTTGGCCAAAAATTAAAAAGATCATAAGAAGTTGCCGTTTATACAATATAGTTCAATTGAATGAGGTAAGGCCTTCTGCCACTCCATCCACGTGTTACGAAGTAAAACTGCTTATTCTTCTAGACACACTGTAAAGTAAACCATCATAATTAATTTCTCAAATCAAACAGCAATTAGCAATTAATACTTAATTTTAAACGAGGTTAGTCTCTTCACCACCCCAAAACCCTTCCCCCACTCCGTCCATATCAAGCATTGAAGTCTACGCCTCGTTTTAATGCGAATGCGATACCATATATTATCCGTAACTGTGGATAATTATTAATTAATGAAATAACCTTAATTAATTGAATCCAACAAGTTAAATCAACGGAAAATTGACTGGTAGTCATAAATCTTTATCGTAAAGGCATGTCATCATGTAAACTCAAAATTGATGAAACAAAATTCGATCTAAAACAAAAACGAGCACACATGGCTCTCTCTACGACCACTGCTACCTTTTTATTCCTGGTTTTTCATAAATGGAGGGAAAGATCAATCTTGGAATCCTTACCCGTATCAGATATGTTGCCAATGTTAATGTGATTGTTATTCGTCTCGGACATTAACCTTCCATAGCCATGGTCACATCTTATGCTTCTTTGCCAGTTCAAGAAACTCGGCTCATCCTCTTGACCAAGACGACGATGATTGCAGTAGAACGCTACATTATCAAACCTGGCTGCACCGTTGGATTTAAACATATCTGGGTAAAGTTGTGAAGGAAAATAGCCAAAGTTGGCGCTATGAGCAGTTATATACATGGATGGGTGTAGAAGGCCGAGATGATGATGGCTTGGAGGGAAAACCATTGGTAAAGATGGTGGTGATGAGAAGTTGTTTGGTGAATATTCGGATGCACGTTTAGCTTTTCTCGCAGCCGTTCTCTCCTTCTTGTGAGCATTTTGATGACCCCCCAAGGCTTGAGAACTGTAAAATTTTCTTGAACAAAACATACAAGGAAACACTCTTGACGATGAATCGTCGACATTGGTTTCCGAAACTTTCTCATGTTCGTGATCTCCCATGCCTGTAGAAAAAATTAGGGTAAGTTAATTTCACGGAAAATGTAACAAAAATATATACTGAGCATACATATATAACTTGAACAAGGAAGTATAGAAATCAAATGAAGAAGACCTTCAAATGCGATGCAAGAGCTAGGCCGAAGAAAGAAGAAAAATTGAACAAATAGAATGTGAGTATAGAGAGTTTGAAATGTTGGTACTGGTAAATAAAGAAGCGAAGAGGAGTTCAGAAACTAAATTGTCAAGAGTTGGAAAATGTGAAGAGGGTCTGTGTAACTATTAAATAGAGTGCTTGAAACAAGAGGGTGTATGGGCTTGGGAACAGAAGAGATAAGAGAGAGAGAGAGAGAGAGAGAGAGAGTTTTATGACAAATCTGCATGCTTAAATAAAGAGAGTGATTGGTGGAAAGAAATGCTTGGTTGGGAAATGGAATCTGTAATTTCCTTCTGACAAATATCGGTTTCATGGGCATTTTGGTTTTGCTTGACAGAAGTTTAACTCTTTGTTTCTTAGTTACAACTTGCAAATGCGTTGAATTAACACTGAAACTTCATAATTTTACTTGCTTTTGGAATTTGAACTCCTCTCTACTAAAAGCTAATGTAAAGACACTGTTCTCCCAACACAAACAGTGAGCAGCACCCTGAAATGAGAGTAGGCTTTTTCACTTTTTCATGGGTATTAATCCAAAGGATTTTCGTCTTATTTGCTAAATACAGGGATTCCCACATAGCAAGTGTGGACAATTAATTAGAGAGAGAGAAGATAAAGGTGGGTGTAAACTGTAAAGTGAACAGAGGAAGTCAGAGCAGAGTTTTGATGATCACGTTTGTGATGTCCAATGGCCAATGTAGAAGGATTGGGTATCTTGGAAGCTAAAGTCAGTCAGTCCCCCACTTAATCAGAAACTGAGTCGTGCGTTGCCTTCTCTCTCTCTGTGCATGCAAATGGCTCTCTGATGCATTCCTCTGCTTTTTCTATAAATAGTTATGGGCCTAACAGTTACTACTCCTGGATTCTCCACGCTCCACCGCCTCTCATCCATCCCTATCCCGACTCTGCACACTCTTCTCATGCCTCCAGTCACAGAATTTAACACAACCTAATACTCCGTCTTTTCTTTACAACTCACATTCTATTACCACAATTTGATTTCTCTCTACATTTAATCAGAATTTAGCTTAATATTTTTATTTAATGTAACATTTATATCAGTAAGAGATTTAGGTTTCCTTCGTTATGAATCAAGTGGCTATAAGCCTATAACTTGCTAGAATGTGCTTGGATATGACTATAGTCTATATAACACTTCCAACCTATCCTGTACACCTTTAAGAAAATATCGTTCCAACTCTTTGTGCGCGAAACTCGTTGTTTCAATTTTCAAGAGAATAGCCTAGTTAGCTAAATTTCTTACATGTAGTAACAAGTCTAAAAATCAAAATTTTCAATATTTAAGGCAATCCTTTGCATGAAAAAGACGAGGGGGTGGGGGCCTGGAGGGTTTTTAAAGCAATGAAATCGACATGGCTGAAAAAAGGGAGGCATTGTACAAAATCACATTACATTTAGTATAAATAAATGAAAGATGATAACGCTATGCAATTAATGAATGTTGATTGTTGACTCGGCAAAACCTGAAAATTACAATTCTGCAAGCAGGAATATGAACCATGGCAAAGGATTCACAAAAAGAGGTCAGGAGTAAAAATCACTGTTGAGGCATTTATCTTATCATGCTATACTGGTATAGGATGTGCAATTGACGATGACACAAGGATGGAGTATACATTTATGAGACTCAAGAACAACCAAAACATCTACTAATGGAGAAAAAACTTGATGGTTCTGATGATGGCTCTGCCTCGTCCTTGGTCTCAGGCTTAGTCTGAGCCTTCGGATGAGGATAATGCTTAAAAAATGCTTTAACCGCTCCAGTTACTCCATCTTCTTTCTCCATGGACTTTGCGAGTTCAACTGCACGCATCTTCACCTGTCATAGTTCTCAGGTGAGTCAGTAAGAACTGTAGTATAATTTTCCTATATCCTAGAATCCAGTAGGAATATTATATCAGATTGTGTAGTATTAGATTTTTTGTTTTGTTTTGTTTGAAACTGTATAGTATGAGATTTAATTGGATATAAATAGTATTGTTATGACTATATATACTTTACAATACATTAAATCAGCAAATGTTGAAAATTCAGTAGTACCTCTGGATCTAGCATGAAATTTATTGCATCAACTAACTTTGCAAGTGAGAACTCTTCAACTGGGATGGGTGGAGGACCTACTCCTCTGGCATGTACTCGATCTCCCCAGAAAGGTTGGTCACCAAAGAAAGGTACAATAGTTGTCGGGCACTATATTTCAAAAATAATGTGTCAAAATGAGATAGAAAACACATCAGACAGAACTCTTACTGAAACCATGCTTAAAGTAAGTTATCCATCATTACCGCTGCTTTAAGACCGGCAGCAGTTGTTCCAGCACCACCATGATGAACCTTAAAAGCAAAGTGTGGAGAAATAAGAACTTGTCATCACAAACAAAATAGGTTGAGGCATAGCCATATGCTTATTGAATCCCACGAATATTGAAAGAACATACACATGAAGCTGCTTCAGGATAAAGACTTACCACAGCCTTACATTGTAAGAATAGCCAGTCATGGGGGCAATTGTCCAACAAGTATACAGAGTCCTTTGGTTCTGCCACTGGAAGGAAATAAGATATAGCCAATTAAATCTCAACCCCAAGTGGATAGAACAATGTAGTCGTGGCCTTTACAGGCCAGACCCCACGGATCTAGCCGAAAAGGGCCAAAGAGGCCATCTTTGGCCGTCACTGAAGGCCAGATCAGTGAATTACCGGCAGTTCCGATCGGTAATTCACCGTTGTGGCAGATTTGGTTACCACCGACGGTGGTTGCCAGAATCTGGTAAGTACGCGTATGGGGGTGTTTTGTTAATTTTTAAATTTTTTTCAGGGGGTATTTAATGAAATTAATAACCTTATAGGGTTTAATAATTAAAAATAGGGTATATTTAGGAATAATGTGTCAAACATTATTTGGAGAATAAGATTGGGAATATAGGCAGAAAAATAAGCCAAAAAAACCATTATTATTACGTGAATTCGAATCCCATCATTTTCACAAAAGAAATCCAACATATAAAGGATTTCACAGGGCTTGGATTTCGGGAATCAGACTCTTCAAACTCCATCTCCTTTTTTTCTTAAGTAGTGGAAAATAGATAAGTGAATTCTAACCGAAGATTGTTTAGATTTTGGTTCCCTTTGAATTGTAAGATAAGAAATGCACTCAATTCAGAGGATAATTGAAATTCAAAGTTGATATATAATGATATTGACAAATCTGAAATGATCAAAAGTTAGCCACAGTCGATTCTTAAAACGGATTATGTAATGTATTATCATTTGTATTAAGGGGGATATTTTTTTAATCCCAAGAAATTGGATCGGTATATCATATTATAAAAGGATCATCCTGATCCATTACTTATCCTCTTACAGAACATTTTATTCATCATCTTCAAGAGAATTATCAATAAAAAAAAAGCAATACTACACTTTATAGAACGTACTTTACAATCTGACACTCAAAACCCAAAATATTTTTCTAATTATTTATAATTATGATAATTATCAATCAAATTGACAAATAAACTCATTAATTACTTATGAACTGCCTAACCCTGTCAACGAATTGGTCAAACTCAGGCAGCTTAGGAAAAAGATGAAACAGTGACAAGCATTATCAAACTCGACCAACTCAGCTTCTTTTCCACGATCCGTCAGCCCTTGAAAGTACCCCGTTTGCCAATTTTCGATGGATCAAAACCTCCAACAAAAACAATCGTCGCCGAAATTCACTCCGGAAATATCATGCCCCTTCGGCCCGAAAACGTTCGCTGCCCCATGGTCCCGGTCCGACCTTTTGGCAAAAACGCCTTCCACGTCCAATCAGTCCTCTTATTGATATTAGTGGAGCTCTCATGCGTTATTTGATGGAGTCCTTTCCTCCCCACCAAAATATGGCTGAATAGCTAAAACTCCATGATTTACTCTGGTTAAATTGTTCTGAACAGCTCTGAGAGCTACGTGATGAGCTATGTGCTTCCTGCGCTGTTCCAGCATGAAACAGTGATAAAATCACGTAGGAAGGCAAGCTTTCAATGGATTTAAATTTGTGTCGATAAAGTTGAGCAAATCAAAGCCATTTCATAGTGAGAGGACAACGATGCTCCGGAGCCAGACGGTAGTTGACAGAAATGATAACGGCGGGGAGTTTTCTGACGACGGTTTTTGAACTGTCAAGGAAGCCCTGTGAAGAAAGGGTTTTTGACAGGTTAGAAAGGGTCTTCACCGTTTTTTAACTTGACAGATTCTCGACAGGTAAAAAACTGTAAAAAATCAATCAATTTTAATCAAATCTTTGACAGTTTGGAACTATCAAGAATTTAGATTTATTTTCAATTTTTAATCAAATTCTTGACAGTTTAAAAAGTTGGAAGATTTTTTTTGTAATTATTTATTTTCTAGTTATTACTAATTAAATTATGGAATAGTGTAATGAAATTATTCATATGTTCCAATTACAACAATTATCACAATTCAACAATAAATTTAATATTTAACAATCTCTCAATTGATTATTGAAGGTACATATATCATTGTTGCTCTTATTAAACAAATTAAACAACAATATAAGTCTAAAATATTGCAAAACAACAGTTAAATAATGGAAAAACCGGTTCGGTTTAGTTTCTACATTTTTTTGAACACTCCTAATTGATTGATTGACATAAACTCACATAAAAATTACTTTGTATTTATGCTCTTTGTTATGTTAATAGAGAGAGAAGTCTTTATGCTGTGATTAGTGTAAAAGCGAGTCATACTCAATTCTGATTTTTCACTGTAAGATTATCAAAGATTTAGAAAGGCATTGTGAAACACTCATTGATCCTGTGCAACACAATTATTGACTAATTTTTGGACCCACCGAACTAGTTTGTATTTATTAAACACTCTATAAGCACAATAAACCAAATAAGTCATAAATATGATAAGTAACTACTTGATAGTACTCAAACTTGAGACCCCTGGCTAACGTAAATAAGTCATAGATAACAATAGAAAACTCATACACAACCAAAACAAATTTTTCTGAAAAAATCCTAAGACCATAACCATTTTCCAATTCTTTTTCTTGGGAAATTCTGGGATACAAAAAACAATTTTACAAAAAAAAAAAAAAAAAAAAAATCAGCACTCTTTTAACACATACTAAAGTTAAACATAAAACTATTTTTTTTTCCAATACAAAACCAACAATTTTGGAGTACAAGTTGTACAACCAAACAAATCAATACAATCTAACAAGGCGCTGTAGGTGGAGGCAGCATCGGACCGGAGAATGGAAACGGCAGTGGTGGAGAAAACAGGTAAATAAGAGATAAGGATGAGAAAAAAATAGAAGAGAGGACAAAAAACCAATGTGCTTTAGATCTTTTACATGAAAAAATAGAAAAAAGAGGAAAGTTAGAAGATACCTTAATATAAATACTTGCTTTTGGAAATAAAAGGGTAATTGTAGTTCATCTAAGTCGTTTTGTGCTGTATTAATTCGCATGTAACACATTCTAGCTTTATTTGAATCTTGAATGATATATCATATTCACATCATTTAAAGTTGACATAGCATTAATCCTTTGATAAAAGCATCACTCACGTTCTTTGGTCCTCTCAATTTATCCCTCACCCAAGAATAAAATCTTTTGGTAAATTGGGAATTTTAGTCTTATCCTAACTTTAGTAATAAGAATTTGATGATATAGCATTATATCTTTGATACCATTTTGTAAATGTTGAATAAAATTTATATGGGGAATACAATAAACTGGATATCAACAGTGATTGGATTGAATCGCGCCTATTAATTCTTGTTTCCATACAATAAAAGTTGTGCTGGACTCTCGGCATTGATTTGACAGACAGGACGAATAGGTAGTAAGCAACAGGTCGCCAACCTTTTGTCCATGAGTAATATTAAGTTCAAGGAACGCTTCCCATAAACCTTTTTTTTATAAAATACAATGTGTCAATTTATAATTGTTTAACTTATAATGGATTCTGTTTGTTTAATAATAGGTTTCACTTGATCAAATACAAATTATCACATTACTGTTGTGAAAAGTATTTATCCACTTATTTTTATTCTTTACCCACAAGTGAAAAGCCTTTCCAATATTCATGCTGAAAATTGACTATATATTTAAATTTAATTTAGAGTTAGTTCTTATAAGTAATACTTAGTGGAACTCTATTTTTTATACCGTTAAAAAGATAAAATACTGCAACTTTATATTGCATTAACTAACATATACATGCAATTTATGTATATGTTAATATTTCGTTTCACAAATTTCTCTTTTGTGAAGGAGGGGAAGTTGGTGACCCCACTCAAATTTTTTTTTTTTTTTTACTAATTTCGTTTGGTTTTTTGTTTTGACTATACTGTGTTTGTATTGATTTTTCTACATTTGACCCCATTTATTTGTTTTTTCCCCTATTTTATGTTATATTATATCGAAGTTATCCATTCTAAATTAATTTTTGGGTCTGTTCCTGGATGTCTTAATATCCTACTCATAGCAAACTACATTTTCCGACGTCATAGTCTAGAAAATTGAATTTTTTTAATTTTAATTTTTTTTATAAAAGTTTTTCAATAAATTATTTGAATTTTAAATAAATACTTATTTACAAATTTATTTGAGAAATATAATATTTATATGATATAGCATTATACAGTAGTATCTAATGCAATACACCAAATAGTAATAAAACTCAATACAACTTAAAGAATTCACTAAGAAATATAAAAGTATTGGGTGTATTTGGTTTATTATTTTGGATAGGATTTTGGGGATAGTATTGAATAATTGAATATGAGAGTATTACGAGGTAAAATTTAAAAATTTATAAAAAAACCCCCCTAAGTTTGCTAATTTAATAAATACCCCAATATATATAAATATATAAAATGACAAAAAGACCCACACCACCTACAGTGCCAGATTCCGGCCACCACCACCGGAATCTGGCCGAAAAATTGCATAACCACACATACCAGCCAAATCTGGCCAGTATGACGTTGCTATGGCTTTTTCTGGCCAGATCCGTGGCCTTTACCGGCCAGACCCACCACGGATCTAGCCGAAAAGGGCCAAAGAAGGCCATCTTTGGCCGTCACTGAAGGCCAGATCAGTGAATTACCGGCTAGTTCCGATCGGTAATTCACCGTTGTGGCAGATTCTGGTTACCACCGACGGTGGTTGCCAGAATCTGGTAAGTACGCGTATGGGGGTGTTTTTGTTAATTTTTAAACTTTTTTTCAGGGGGTATTTAATGAAATTAATAACCTTATAGGGTTTCAAAGTAATTAAAAAATAGGGTAATATTTATGGAATAATGTGTCAAACATTATTTGGAGAATAAGATTGGGAATATAGGCAGAAATAATAAGCCAAACACACCCATTATTATTACGTGAAATTCGAATCCCATCATTTTCACAAAAGAAATCCAACATTATAAAGGCATTTCAACAGGGCTTGGATTCTGGGAATCAGACTCTTCAAAACTCCATCTCCTTTTTATTCTTTAAGTAGTGGAAAAATATAGATAAGTGAATTCTAACCGAAGATTGTTTAGAATTTTGGTTCCCCTTTGAATTGTAAGATAAGAAATGCACTCAATTCAGAGGATAATTGAAATTTCAAAGTTGATATATAATTGATATTGACAAATCTGAAATGATCAAAAGTTATGCCACAGTCGATTCTTAAAACGGATTATGTAATGTACCTTATCATTTGTATTAAGGTGGATATTTTGTTTTAATCCCAAGAAATTGGATCGGTATATCATATTATAAAAGGATCATCCTGATCCCATTACTTATCCTCCTACAGAACATTCTTATTCATCCATCTTCAAAGAGAAATTATCAATAATAAAAAAAGCAATACTACACTTTATAGAACGTACTTTACAATCTGACACTCAAAACCCAAAATATTTTTCTAATTATCATTATAATTATGATAATTATCAATCAAATTGACAAATAAACTCATTAATTTACTTATGAACTGCCTAACCCTGTCAACGAATTGGTCAAACTCAGGCAGCTTAGGAAAAAGATAGAAACAGTGACAAGCATTATCAAACTCGACCAACTCAGCTTCTTTTCCACGATCCGTCAGCCCTTGAAAGTACCCCGTTTGCCAATTTTTCGATGGATCAAAACCTCCAACAAAAACAATCGTCGCCGGAAAATTCACTCCGGAAATATCATGCCCCTTCGGCCCGAAAACGTTCGCTGCCCCATGGTCCCGGTCCGACCTTTCTGGCAAAAACGCCTTCCACGTCCAATCAGTCCTCTCTATTGATATTAGTGGAGCTCCCTCATGCGTTATTTCTGATGGAGTCCTTTCCTCCCCACCAAAATATGGCTGAATAGCTAAAACTCCAATGATTTTTACTCTGGTTAAATTGTTCTGAACAGCTCTGAGAGCTACGTGATGAGCTATGTTGCTTCCTGCGCTGTCTCCAGCATTGAAACAGTGATTAAAATCAGCGTAGGAAGGCAAGCTTTCAATGGAATTTAAATTTGTGTCGATAAAGTTGAGCAAATCAAAGCCATTTTCATATTGAGAGGGACAACGATGCTCCGGAGCCAGACGGTAGTTGACAGAAATGATAACGGCGGGGAGTTTTCTGACGACGGTTTTTGAACTGTCAAGGAAGCCCTGTGAAGAAAGGGTTTTTGACAGTTTAGAAAGGGTCTTCACCGTTTTTTAACTCTGACAGATTCTCGACAGTTAAAAAACTGTAAAAAATTCAATCAAATTTTAATCAAATCTTTGACAGTTCTGGAACTATCAAGAATTTAGATTTATTTTTCAATTTTTAATCAAATTCTTGACAGTTTAAAAATTGTGGAAGATTTTTTTTGTAATTAATTTATTTTCTTAGTTATTGCTAATTAAATTATAGAATAGTGTAATGAAATTATTCATAATGTTTCTCAATTAACAACAATTATCACAATTCAACAATAAATTTAAATATTTAACAATCTCTCAATTGATTTATTGACTGGTACATATATCATTGTTGCTCTTATTAAACAAAATTAAACAACAATATAAGTTCTAAAATATTGCAAAAACAACAGTATAAATAATGGAGAAAAAAGTTGTGGTTCTGATCATGGCTCTGCCTCAACCCTGGTCTCAGGCTTAGTCTGAGCCTTCGGACAAGGATAATGCTTAAAAAATGCTTTAACTGCTCCAATTACTCCATCTTCTTTCTCCATGGACTTTGCGAGTTCAACTGCACGCTTCTTCACCTGTCATAGTTCTCAGGTGCGTCAGTAAGAACTATAGTATAATTTTCCCATATCCTAGAATCCGATAAGAGGAATATGTTATATTAGATTGTGTAGTATTAGAGTCTTTTTTTTTTTTTTTTTGAAACTGTGTGGTATGAGATTAAATTGGATATAAATAGTATTGTTATGACTATACATATATACTTTACAATAAATTAAATCAGAATGTTGAAAATTCAGTAGTACCTCTGGATCTAGCATGAAATTTATTGCATCAACCAACTTTTGCAAGTGAGAACTCTTCAACTGGAATGGGTGGAGGACCTACTCCTTTGGCATGAACTCACCCTCCCCAGAAAGGTTGGTCATCAAAGAAAGGTAAAATGGTTGTCGGGCACTATATTTCAAAAACAATGCGTCAAAATGAGACAGAAAACACATCAGAAAGAACTCTTACTGAAACCAAAACCACGCTTAAAGTTATCCATTATTACCGCTGCTTTAAGACCGGCAGCAGTTATTCCTGCACCACCGTGATGAACCTTAAAAGCAAAGTGTGGAGAAAACTAAGAACTTGTCATCACAAACAAAATAGGTTGAAGCATAGCCATATGCTTATTGAATCCCACGAATATTGAAAGAACATACTCATTAATGAAGCTGCTTCAAGATAAAAGACTTACTACAGCCTTACATTGTAAGAATAGCCAGTCACGGGGACAATTGTCCAATAAGTATACAAAGTCCTTTGGTTCTGCTACTGGAAGTAAATAAGATATAGCCAATTAAATCTCAACCCCAAAGTGGATAAAACAATGTAGTAGGTGAACGAAATAGAGGCAACAACAGGAACAAAATATAATAGTAAAACAAATCAAACAGTAAACAAAGAAAATAACACGTGCGATTTATCTTAATTCATCCAATGGGGGCTACGTCCAGCTGAGTCAATATTATTGCAATATGCCTCACCTCTCTCGTTTATAATGAATGAATTGCCCTATGATTTGCTATCACTGTATAACAAGAGAAAAATATATTTATATATTAGGTTTAAGAGAGTAAACCTAGTTTTACAAAGATTCATATTCCTAAGCCTAACCCAATAAGGAATTAGCAACTTACAAGAAATCCTACAAAGGTTCTACATGGAAAAGCCCGAAACAGTAGGAAAAGAAGAAGAATGAGAGAGACACAGAAGGAGAGAGAGGTAAAGGAACATATGAAGCATACGAATGACTAATTAAAAGAACTTACAGTTGCCAAGGCCACCCAGCCTTTGTTAATGATACCACTCTGTCCAGTTATTTCCAGTGCTTCCACAATTACTTGGGTCATTTTCTCTGGCTCTTGAACAGGCTGACAAGAAATAGGATAATAAACCTCCCATAAAGATTAAATATAATACTTTTATTCGCATAGCCAGTTAATGAAAAAGTATGATGAAATCTGGATCACTGCAATAACCATATAAGTCTTGAAATAAAAGAGCATTTAGAAGTTTATAACATGGAAAAATTCAATTTCCACAAGGGGGAAAAAACAAATATAATTGGACAAATCATATGGCAGCACTACTTCAGGGGGTGATACAATCTAGACAGTAGACGTCAACACATTGCATAATTATAACATATCACAGTACAAGAAAAATCTTCAACCTTTATTTCAATTACAGTCCTCCAGCTCCCCACTTAAACACATTCCTCCCTCGAAGGATGGCAACTTCTCCCTTCCCACTCAAAAAAGTTACCGGCTGCACCTCGCATCATATCCTACACAGGAGCTTTTCTAAACCCACAGCCCGCCTCCATCCTCCTGTTTCAAAAACCTATTTTCTATGTGAACAAAACAAAGGCTTCTTAAACTTGAAGGGAGAAGTACAGCAAGATGAAACCCACTCACACTGGTAACTAGTCCAACCATTGCTGATTCCTCAAACATTTACGGTCCTAAATTGCTCATAACAGAAAATAATAACTAGAAATCTACATATAAGAAAAAGATTCGATCCCTTCTCAAAATTCCTAAAGAAATTTTAAAACTTCCAATTGTATCTGCCCACATGAGTTACATAAGTTATGCACGAATTAGATTTGATCAAGAAAATGAAAGAAAAAACTGTGTGTTAAGTGAAAGAGGTAACAAATTCATAGCATGCCAAATTGATAATAAAAACACATGGTAGGTAATAACTTAATTTAATCTCACTCACTTCCTTCAAATAAATTTTTGGAAATTATGCCTCCTTTTCCTGCATTTATTTCATATGTTAATATTTAAGTTTCATGGAAATATATCCATCCACAAAAATTCAAAAAGAAGTTCTCATCGCAAGTAGTTCAAGACCTAAAGGAGTGAACAATCTAAATAATTAAAGCTACTTGGTGTCGTGCTGGGAAACATAGGATCCCACCTCAGTCAAGGATTAAGGCTTTATGGGAAACAAGTGGTCTATCAGTCATCTAGTAGGGCCATCATACCAAATAAGTAGAAGTTCACAACTCGAAAATATTCTCAAGAAGGCTTTACTAGTTTCAAAAGGTTATATTTCCTAGTAAAACAACATATAAATTATGAGAGAACTAAGAAAACAAACTCACAAGGCTACCGAATCCAATATAAATAGGCTCTGTATCAGCATCAAGCCTTTTTACAAGTGATTCTGGAGGTTCATAATTGGATGCGAGATAAAGGAAGCAAAATCCTACCACGTCAACTTTTGTTCCCCAGTCTGCAACACAATTAAAAGAAAAAAGGAAAAATGTAAACCAGAAATTAGCATTCTCCATAAGAATCCTTTTTCACAATTTAGCAAAAGTGCATAATACATGAATCAAGATGTCAACTTCACGAAATTTTAAGACAGCAAAAACCTCAAAACTATAGCATAAAAGCAGCTAAGTTCATAAGGACAGTTAGCCATGAATTATAGAAGCAAAAAGATACACGACACTCCACCCAAGAGAATACGGAAAAGTGTCACCTAAACAACAAGGCAAATAAAAAGCACCAGAAACTATTTCATCCACCAAATCTATAACCACCCAAGCATATGGCCAATGAAAGCATATCACACTTAGAATGGAAAAAATTGAAAATGGTGGCACGTAAGTCATCCGTTAAGACTAAAATAGCACTTACATCCCAAAAAATCAAATCAATTTTCAATTTGTGCAATAAAAGGGGCACAGGAGGAACAGGGAGAATGGATATTCGATCCAACATCAGCCTCAAATGTTCTATGATTATAAAGATGTGAAGTATAATTCCAGGTCTAAAGAAATTAGTTTAAAGAACATATAAGGTTCTCTAAGGCACTTGGCTGAGAAAGACATACTAAAAGAAACTCTATTCAAACTATAAATGCCTATTAAATGATCATAATGCTATCTGTAACAGTCTAGAAACTGAAGTAACAACCTTTGGTTTGGGAACAGGTGAGGACCCATATATATCCATGTGGAATATCAGATCAGAACCTGGAACCTCAAATAAGTGAAGCGTACTTCAGCTTTTTTTTACTCATTATCATTCCCAATTCCAAGCCAAATCATTGAGGTCAACAATTTGTACATAGCTGCAAAAATAAAAGAAAAAGTCATACCAGAAATTTATTTTTAAAAATAGAGCTAAAAATTAATATAATATGGCAAAGAGGACAGAATTTGATGAACTCACTCGATATCCAGCTGATTGCTTGACACGGGACAAAGGATGCGGAAACCACTTTGGCCGGAGAAAAAGATAATAGATTGTGCAAAGCAATTTAAGATTCCCCATCAAACCATGCATAGAACAATAAACTGAGACAAACAAGAAGAAACCAAGTTGTAAACGAAACTTCAAAGATATTAGCAAAACTTAATCAGCTAGATTCCATTACCCAACAAGACTTACGTCCATGATTGTGAAAAATATATGAATCGGTATTTCCAGTGCCTCTGCAACATGGGTATGCCTAAAGAAGCAATTGACAAGGTTGTTAGAAGTGTGATCAAGGAAATGTCACATAAGTTGACTTATGTAATAAATGATGATATGATCTCGCATGATCATCAATTCCCCAAATAGATAGCAAAAGATGCAGACACAACATTAAGCAAAAGATGAGACACAATCATTAACTACAATTATTTCTGACAGTGATTGCTTAGATTTAATATAGTCATTAAGATAAAAATAGCAATGAAAATGCTTTGTATAATTTTCTCTTATTTATTATCTTCTTAAATCACTTTCTGCACTATATATGCTCACCACACGAGAATTTCAAGTTGCAACCGAAACTGACATGTCCAATACAAAAAAAAAAGCTTGCTTCTTCATTTATGCTAAGAAGCAAATCAAAAATTTCACAACCAAAATTATCAACAATGATAAAACATTACCGTATGCTGGGGGATTAGCAATGATTGCATCTGCCTTAAAGGGAATACCAGAATCTAAATCAGGCTCTTTGCAAGCTGGAAGTAAAGAGTTAATAATTTCCTTCATCTGATTTCGTTGAATGGGTATCTCAGAAGGGCCTGATGGCAGGAAGCCCTTGTTTTTAACCATATCTGCTCAGAAGAGGAAAACTATTAACTGAAAGTACTGATTAAAAATTATCATCAAATAATCTTAAGAGTTTGTTCATATGGGCCACTGCAGTATCAACTCCAATACAAGAGAAAAGTAGCCAACTCTATGATATTATGAGGAAAAAAAAAACTGTATAGTATTGAAAACAGAAAATGCCCATGGCAAACAAATACATGCAATGCAGTACCCATGCTTTATGTCATGAGTGCAAGTGTGCAATCATTAATATTTGTGTATGTCAAACGCAAGCATGTAAAAGCTATCATTAATGCTTAGGATGAAAAGTAATTAATCAGACTAGCAGAACATCAAAATAGTTTAACTGCCTCTGAGGTGCCTAGAAACCCAGTTGCAGCAGCATATGCATCAAGTGCTTTGTGCAAGTTACCAATGCATTTGGACCACATATAGTAGATGGTAAACACTCCTATAAATACCGTAGACAATAAAAACAAAATCCAGACAGTCTAATCATGTATACTATAGATGGTCGTATGGGTACTTACAACCAGCGAGAACTTTTGGATCTCCGCCTAAAGGATAGAACTCCAACCCAGCAGTCAAGACAAAATCTTTGAAATTTGAATGAGTAGCTAATCTAACACGATGGCCATAGTCCTGCATGAAATATCCTTGTTAATAGACGTAATCTGTTGCATAATAGCTTCTTGGATTGCTAAAATTAAAAATCCTGTCCCAAATTTTCATATTTCTTTCCATTGGCACAAAATAAGCACAAAGTTTTAATTAAACATGGTTATACCAGAACAAAAGACCAATATCAACAAAGGTGAAAATTCTGCCAATAAACGAAACTTTTCTTTAAAGAAAAAACTGAAAAAATTATCTTCTGCATTCATGCTCCTAATGTCTATCCCGAACATAACACCTATCTAAGGTGTTTGCCACTTTTCAGTTGAAGACAATTTTGCGTAGAATTGTTGTTATTTTTATATTTAAATTACAAAAAATACAGAGTAGAACTGTAATACCCACCTCTAGAATTACAAACAATGTCAATTTATAAAAAAAAAAATAATAATAATAATACACATATAGAACTCAATCAGAAAAATGGAACAGAAAATAACGTGAGAGAATATTCTTTAACCTGCAGACGTTTGCCAATCGCAATAAATGGTTGTACATCACCACGAGTGCCTACAATTAGCATTACTATTTGCAATGGTGGTATGTATAGATGGTCTTGCGAATCAAGGGGCTCATCATTAACAACTTCACTACATAAATTTTCAGATGCAGCACCAAGATCATGGGGTTCAACATCTCCAGGAACTTCGAATTCTACAGTTCCATCATCTTTCACAGTAGCTATTCTGTTCAACAATTTAATCTGCATGGATTTGATAACTATCAATAAACAATAAAAACCCATGCAAACTAATCTCAAAGATAAAATTGCAATGCTATCAAGTCTAACTGTCACGACTATGATGACGACAATGATGCTAATAACAGTGAAAGCTAGCACACAAGTAGTAATAGTAAAGTCAAATATATAATAGGTTTTGTCAAGCAGGGCTTAAACTTAATCCCCTTCATGTGGGGAGACCATTTATTGATTTAGACAATTTATATGGATCTAATCAAGTTTATCACAAACAAGTCCCTCATAGCAAAAGATCAATAACCACATAGAAGTACACAACACTCTAACATTACATTTAAGCATGTCACTAAAACCCATAAGATACTGCCTAACTAAACCTACATAACATCAGCCTCAAACTGAAATTTGATAAGCATTAGATGAGGCTACTGTAGTCTTCCAATATGCTTCAATCATAAAAGTCATTCTACAAACAATATTCAATATGAATATGACTCCCTATATTGGATTAAAGACAAAATTAAAATTAGATATCACAATTAACCATTCTCAAGATGTTCATAGAATTCATAAAGCTCATCTCAAATAGAAATCTTATGAAAGTTCATACATTAATTCAGTATTAAATAGAATACGAACAAGTGTGAAAAAGGTTTCTGGTTAAGCTAGCTAAAACATGTCAACCATTTCGAAGAAAAAAATGCTTCACAGATATTAAAAATTCAAGGCAGATTTCAATAAACACTGGTATTATACCTTCTGCTCGACAGAAATCTTGCTGTCAAAAATTTGGGCTGCCTGTTGAGCAAGTACACTACGGGGTCTGTGACTCTCAGTTTTTGCTCTTTCCAACTTAAGCGGACTTGAAACTTGCTGATGTTTCTCAGCGCTTAACAACTCCATCTGCGGAGTCTTTATCTTAGGAACACTTTTCCCAGAATTTCCTAAACGAAGGAAAAATCAGAAATATCATATACGCGAACCCATAGATAAACAAGAAAATCTTTTACTACAACACCTTGGACTTGCTTGTTGGTCGTATATGATGTCATTTTATCTACTAAATTTTACAAGATTACAATCACATAAAAGTGCTAGTTAAAGATTTGACAAGCAATACATAATTTCACCAGCGTCAACAAAATCAATTAATTCTAACCACTCTCAGGTCTAAAATTCAAATATTCAACCATACTAAAAGAATTACAAAATAAAGTGAGCTTCACAGCTATGTTTTGGAAACCGATTTCTCAGCGACCAAACAAGAACACAAGCGAAACCACAATTCGAAAGGAAAATTTACTAACCTGAAGACTCTGCATGTCCATTATTTACGGTAACGGCACTCGTACTCGTCTCACCGCTATCCACTTCTTTACCTTCGCTGCTACTTACACCACCAATTCCGCGCTCAAACTTCACAGAAAGTTCACTTGAACTCGAAGAAGAAGAAGAAGGTGACCGTAAATTCTCTCGAGTCTCCGCCATCGGCGTCACGCCCGATGCCGGCCAGCTCCCTGACTGCGGATGTCCTCGGCGCCTTGCTGTTCCTTATTCAGATCTGCCCTACTAGGACGTGTGTTGTTTAGTACTCTCAATTTGTGCGTTTGGAATCTCAGAAACTGACGAAAAATGAGGGAGATTTTTGTTCTCAGAATCTAATTACTCAATAGAGAAGGCACGTCCACCGTAGTTGGTGAAGGGCGTAGGTGATGCTTGTGGTTTTCCTGTTTGCTTTTTTTTTTTTTTTTCCCTCTTTCTTTTTTGCCTTTAAAAGATACGTGACGCGTATGCAAAGTTACAAACTGTCGGAGCAGGGGCATTTTCGCAGTTAAATGGTCTATTAAACCATAAAAAAGGGAGAACAACATTTTCCCACCCAAGGTTTAGTGAAATGACTCTTTCCCACCCGTCAAGTTTCAAAATGACATTTCCCACCCTCCATTATGTTCTGTTAGTGTTTGCCATTACTATTTGACTTAAAAGACAAAAATATCCTTAATATTTGACTTAATAATTTTGTTATTACTTATATCATGTCAACAATTCAATTACTAATATACCCACTATTAATATAAAATTACTGCAATGTCCTCAACTATATAAGAGAATGTAAATTACCAATTTGTCCTTCCAATTTTTTTTATTAAAAATAATATTTTAAATGAAGTTACCACTGGATTTTTAAAAATTCAGAACCCTTAAAACTGGCATTAATATTTAAATATTTGAATTTTGTTAATTTAAACACTACTAATATCTGAAAAATAAGAATCCAGATTGTAAAATTACAGTAGAATTAATGGAGAATTATAAGAAATTTTGTCAATTGAAACCCAATAAAAATAGGGAATTCAATACAAACAAAACAGATTTCTACAAACTTTATGTCAAACATCAAATGGTATTGTATAATTAATAGAGAAGCAAAAGTATAAAACTAAGTAGTCACAAATTACAGAAATTACGAAAAGGAAGCTTTGCCTTATCAAATCAGGTGCTTAAATTTTATAATGATTTCTGGCATTGATTACATTACACCCAAACCCTAAACCCTAAACCCTATAAATTACGAAGAGGAGCTTTGCCTTATCAATCAGGTGCTTAAATTTTATAATGATTTCTGACATTGATTACATACACCCAAACTTGTCAACATAGAAAATTTTTTTCTCCTTCTAAAACTGCTTCCAAAAGTTGTCCTGGAAATAATTTATGTTGTCAAAACCATAAATTCATAGGATACTTTAATCTCCTTACCTTCGTGATGTTTCCATCTTTCTAACATGAGCTCCACATTTGAAATCATTGTTGGAATCGATACCTACGCAGAAAAATATACCATTCTAAATTTTTAGTTACTTTCAAGGAATTTGGATAGAAAGTGTGGTTGGCCTGTCTTTTAAATAAGGACAATTCATTGAGCAAACAAGGTGCCAACCAAAACACAAAGAGCAAACTCTCAACATCAGATTTATTGAAAGATGAAACAAAATAAAGCTTTAACCACCACGAGAAGTAACCTCCACAAAGAGCCATTGCAAATCTAACTCCTTTCCTCCAATAATGGGGATTCTACAATCACAATTACATAAATGATTATCAATAGAGCCAACAACATGCCAAAACATTTTAAATCAAAACTAAAGAAAAAAAACCTACAATAAAAGTTGAATTAATATCTTGATCTCTCATGTTGGGCATCAAAAGAAAGAATAAACATATAAAATCTTGCTGATATATGGTTGTCTCAATGATCAACAACAAAAAACTTACATCACAACAAGCCACGATATTTATAAATTATTATTATTATTCAAGGAGCAAGTACTAATTCTTCTTAATTTCGGTTACAGCTATGGCTTAGCTGTTGGTCCTTGAAAACTAAAGCAATTCAAGAGCCAACCTTCTAATTATTCATCCCTAAAGCAGCTGCATCATTTTCACTTATCAATCTGCAAGTTTGTGATAGTGAAGGATATGAGATGAAATTCAACAGGACTCCTTTAAATTAAAGTGTAATCTGACTTTGCCAAATTGATGTTTACAAAAATTCATTTATGTAATGGTACAAAGGTCATAAGAGCAAATATTTAAAAAAAGACAAGAACAAAACAAAAAACACACAACTTTTCTCAACCTAAAAAAAAAAAAAAAAAAAAAAAAAAAAAAAGGACAGAAAAAGATTACCCAAATTGTTGTCGTCGTCGATATTTTTCTCTCGCTCGCTGCTTTCTCACCTTTTTTTTCCTCAATCGTTGTCAGTCACCAACCTTGAGTCCCTAATCGCTTCAGTATCACAGAACACGAAGAACCCACAACTGGCTTTTTGTTAGTCGCCAGAATTTTCCTGCATTCAAACCACTGCCATTATGAATCAACAACACAGGAACTATCTCAGCCCGACAAGACACCAAAATAGAAAGCCGTTGCCTTTGCTACGTCCTTGTCATCAATAGGTCGGCCAAAGATGGAAAAGAAGCCGATATGGTGTATCCTTACTGGGGATGATGAAGAGATGTGGTGATCGCACGACAAAAAACCTAGGTCGCCAGTCCAGGAGAACACTTCAAAAAATGCGCTTTGATAGCGAGCGAGATCTTTGAAATTCAATCAGAACAACATTGAGTGAGTAAGAAATAGGATTCTTCTCTGAGTCGCGCGGATCACAAAATGGACTTCAAATCTAGAGAGCAGGAAGAGTTACCAAAGAATAGGCAGAAAAGGCAGGCAACTCTTCGTTCTCCCTTCTTTTTTGTTTTTTCAAAGTCAAACTTCATTGGAACATGGCAACCATTCAGCGACACTCACCATGATTTCAAATTTTTAATTTTTGTGGCTTATGTAAATTGACACTATTACCCTTTTTTAGAAGGGAAAACACTAATTGAACATAACGAAAGGTGGCAAAATATCGTTTTGAAACTTAATGGGTGGAAAAGTGCCATTTTGCTAAACCTCGGGTGGGGAAAAGGCGTTCTCCACTTAAAAAATCTTTCGATTTTAAAGTTGGAATATACTTGTGCTAGTTGACGATATGTACGTAATATGTTTCCATTTATTTCCTTTTAGTTAATTATGAAAATAATTAAATTAATAAAAAATCTCCATCTTGCTAAAAGAAAGAAGTTGATTTGGGGTGGCCGCTTCCTTTTACATTGAAGAAAACAAATTATCTGGCGATTGATGAGCATAAAGAAGTTTATTTTAATAAAAATCAAAACCAACTTTAACACCTCATCCATGTATATTAAGAATATGTTTTAACGATCCAAGAGAGAGTGGCAATGAGCATAATAATAATATAAAATGGTGATAACCGTTATAGTTCATGATTACAGATGTCAGGTATGCATATTGGAATTACGTATTACTTGGTCAATGTGATAAGCGTTTCAATTTTCTTCTTATTTTTGAATCCCTAATTCCTCCATATCATCTTCCATAAGCAATGACTGGAAAATCAACTTTATATATAAATTATAGTAGTACTTTTCTTAGATATCACAATTACCTTTTCTCAATGGCATTATTTGTGTCCAGCTGTTCCTCTTGCAGTTGGAAATGGAATTCCTTTGAAATTTCGTTTCTAGTGAGGAAATTTGAAAAAATAAAATAAATACATATTGAGAACAATAAAAATCTTAATTACATGGGCATAGAATAGAGTTTAATATATTTTATTCTGAATAAATCTTTATCATTGTTGCGTATCTTTTTCGCTTTTATTAATGTCAACTTGACATGATAAATCACATTAATGGAAGATCTTTATACTTCATAATAATTTTAACGCTCCAGTAGTTTATTTCTTGGTACTTTATTATCATTGGACTTTGTTAAATTTCATATCAACACCATGTCAAATTGAAAACTATATGATATATTGATACTATGATATTATCCAAAATTCATAATGATTATAAATTCTGTCCCACCAATTAAAACCAAAGGACTTTTCACTAGCCTTCAACACTAGTACTGATGAAGTTGTATACAGCATATGTTTTTTTCATTTATTTAAATTATTTTCGGATTCAATTAATACAAAAATTAACAATTATTTAGACTTAGTCAAATAATTGTAAATACTTTCCAGTAGCATAAAAGAATTCGAAAGAAAATTTTGCGGTTCATATTATTCAAGTTCAACACAAAGTATTTTCTCCGTAGTAACGCTACGCAATTATTGTAGCCGTCCATTTCCAACGCAACAATGGGTGGATTAACCACACCACGCGAGAAAACAGAAGAAACCGAAACAGTAAACCAAGTAGTGGACTGTGATGGCATGGAATTGTAGGCAGTCAAGTCAAGTCATGAAGACGTGTAGTTGTGTCGCACTCTGTGCCAAAATATTTCGGATGCACATATTGCCCTAGAGGAAACGTCGATGCCGACTCATGGAGTGCTAGCTGTTTCGACAATCATGACCGTCCACTTGGAGTATGGCCAGTAACCGTCTTAATTGATTTTAAGTGAGCTCTCTTGGAGTCTTCGTCTTGGTGAAACAAAGACACGCACACGTGTAACACTATGCAGACTTTGCCAACTTGTCGATGCCAGAAGGCCCAATACAAAACAAACTGTAGGCTTACTTGTAACTAATTTTATTTTTTACCGTATGCTTATTTTATATTTGACTAAAGTATTTTAAATTAAAAATGATAAAAGATGACTTTCACATTACCAAACTGAATAGTTTATCTTCTGTCTAACAAATCTTTTGATAAGAAAAGTAGAAAACAAAGATAATATTCTAAATTATCTTAAATTTAGTAGATTTATGTTCGAATATGCATAATTTTTTGAGCCAAACTAAACCTGTGATATTTCTAATGTCAAGTCGTGATCCGTGAACTACTTGGGCCCTATATGACAAAAACGAATTAACTAACAATAACAAATTCGCAAATCAAATGGCTAGGATTACTCAACTAGACGTACTCAACAAACACATGGTTAAGAAGTTTACACATAAAATCAGGAATCAAGATCATATAGGTTTTACCAATTTATTGGTTTATGGGATTAAGGTTGAAGATGCCAACTAATTAACCAACATACTTATTCAATTGAAATTCCCAAAATAATAATGATAATTCAATTAAAAAAAAAAAGGGTTTCAGAATTATTCTTCTTAACACAAAAAAACCATTCAATTAAAATTGTTATAGCATAATTTTTTTGAGGCGATACACGTAGGAGAGAGATAGGGTAAAACATTATAAAAATTGGGAAATTTAATTTTAATATAACTTAGCTCTAGTGTGGATGCCGCTTAATTCTCGGCAATGTCGCTCTCTCATGCGGAAGATTGAAGCTGCTCCAGGCTTAAGCCACGCTCTCTCTTCTCCTCTCTTCCCTTTCATTTTACCATTTTCAAAATTTCTCATCAAACCCTCTTATTTTTAATTTTTATTTGTCTATTCTCTTTCATAAGACATCGTTTAATTCAAATACAACAAGATATAAGGAGCTAAAAAGCGAGCATCGAGTATTTTTTTTTACGATCCAACTGTAATTATTGTAATTATATTCTCTTTTAGTTTGATCGATGCTTATTTCGATTTGACTTACATGTATTGAAGTCTTGCTCTGTTGTGTTGTTTATGATCTCTTCAGGTTTTGCGTTCGAAATGTTGACGGAAGATCATGCGGTACTGGCTTGATTTACGTGATTGATTTCGTGTACATGAAATCGGATCTGCTCCATGGTAATTTTTTTTTTTTTTTTTTTTTTTTTTTTTTTTGGCAAGTTTGTGAAAGGCAGACTCGTAATTGTTGTGTTTTTGTACAATAATTTGTGTGTGATTTAGGATTACTCCCTGCCGTTGTATGTTTAGAGTGAGTATACGGAGGATTCATTTTATATTTTAGGCTAAAAATTTGTTAGATTTGATTGGGATCGTGCAATTAGGTTGTAAACGAACAGTTTGTTCATTTTATTTTCTATCAGAAAGAGAGGGAGTAAGTGTTTGATATGTTGAATCAAGTAGATATGAGGAGGACCTGCTTATGTGTTGGAGAGGATAATAGCAGCTCAAGGGGCTAAGGCACTGCTCTTATGCAGCTGGATAGGCAGAGGAAGTCATCTGATGCTGCCATGACAGGTGAGGCACCTGGCCCATCTGGTCACTGGATCCAGCAAGGAGCAGCTTCTTTAGTACCAAATACAGGAAAAATCATGAATAATAATGTCTCCGTACAAACAGGAGAGGAATTCTCCATGGAGTTTCTTCAGGACCGTGTTGCAGCAAGAGGGATTCAACCTGCACCCATCATAGGTCAGAATAATGAACTGAGAATTGGACAAAACTATAATCAGAATCACCCGCAGGGGTGTGGGGATCTTGCTCGAATTCTTGGGTTCAGCAGAGAGGATTCCGAGTGTGCTTCAGATGTTTCTGGTTTGTCTGCAAAAGGGCCTGCAAAAGAGATAGAAAATGGGGTTTACAGCGATAAATTAAATAAATACCATAAGGAAGATGGCAATAATGGACATGGAGCGAGAAGAGCTTTTGGTGAATTAAATGGTAATCAAGTGGCTGGTGTGGGACCAATTTCTCCACCCACTTTTGTCTTAGAGTCTTCTCGTGGCAACAACTTTAATGGGCCAGGAGTTCCGGATGAATCTCCAGCTGGGAAGATGAAATTTCTCTGCAGCTTTGGTGGAAAAATATTGCCTAGGCCCAGTGATAGCAAACTCAGATATGTGGGAGGAGAGACAAAGATTATTTCCCTTAGGACAAATCTTTCTTGGGAAGAACTTGTGAAAAAAACTTTGGGTATTTGCAACCAACCCCACTCAATCAAGTACCAGCTCCCAGGTGAGGATCTTGATGCCCTTATATCCGTTTCTTCAGATGAGGACCTTCAGAATATGATAGAGGAATATCGTGGGATTGAAAGGCTTGAGGGTTCTCAAAGACTTCGGTTATTTTTGATTCCCTTGAGTGAATCTGAAAAACTATCTTCCCTCGAAGCAAGTACTATTCTGCACAACAGTTCTGACTACCAATATGTTGTTGCTGTGAATGGCATACTGGAACCCAGTACTAGGAAAAACTCTGGTGGGCAGAGTTTAGCAAATGAGACAAGTCAACTGGGAACTGATTTGAATCGCAATCCAAGCTTCCACAAACATTCTCCAGCTGCCCCATTACCTTTGGAAATTAATGGTGGTTTTGGTGACTCATATCTGACTCAATTCATTAATGAACCCCAACCTCCCAATCAGTCATCTCCCATCTATCTAGTTCCTCTGCAGAGTGGAGATTCCAAGAGTGTTCCTATGCAATTGCAAGGCAATAACTCCAGCGTTGATAGCAGTAGTTCCTTCATTACCGCCCAATTACAACCTGAGGACACAAGCACCGACACTGGTAGTGGTAGATATCCTTCCTTTGAGCCAGCAACTTTGGTAAGCTATCATCATGCCTACAAACAGATGGATGCCAACCAGCCAGACCAAATCCAAGGAGTACAACTTCCCAACCACAATTCCAAAAAAGGATTTGCAAATCCTTCAACTTTGGATCCAAACGACAATGATCTCAATGGTTTCTCTTATGAGAAGCCTATGCCTAAGGAAAGAACATTCCACTCAGAAAAGCCTGTCTCACGCCCAGGTAATCCTATTGGCTTGTTGTCAGGATCTATTGACTTTACTGATCCTCATCAAGGCATGTCACATGCATATTCTGATTCAAAGCTGAATGCGTATGGAGGGGGCTCTGCGTACTGTTCACTAGAAGGAATGAGCCCATTATCCCCCTTGAACTTTGCAAAAATACAATTGCCTTCACTGCCAGTTTCCAATGTCTTGCAAGAAAAACCAATGCAACGGTACGAGAGCACTGATCTTTTGCATCCAAAAGTACAGAATAATTTACTGGATATTGGGTCTACTGGATCACAGATAGATGTGCTGCCGTGTTTCCCTCTAGAATCAGCCTGCAGGAAGAAACCTATTTCTAAGCTTACCAATGACACCAGAGACAAGCGGCAAACAACTAATGATGCCATGAACAATGATTTCACGAAATCAAACCATTTTGATGAAAATTCTTCAACTCTGGAAACAAGGAAGATGGTAGATGAAAGAGATCTATTTTTGCATCAAGGTGGAAACTTTTTCAAGGGAAGACCACCTGCTAACAGTTTGGAGCACATGAACAATTTTCCTAATGACGATTGCCACCAAACTAATGCATCTGGTGTTGATACATTTTCATGGGAAATGCAATTGTCTGGGGGTATGCATCCTACATCCTCGGCTATTGGTCCCAAACCCTTTGTAAACATTGTGAGGGAGCACCCCACAAACTTTGAACTTGACAAGCCTCTATCTGATCACATTGTTGTGGACCAAACTGCAAAAGATCAGCATTGTGATTTGACTGGTGCAATGATAGGACAAGGAAGCAATGCTCCATGTACTGAAAACTCTGAAGTTGCAGGCTTATTTCCGAAAATCAGACTGGCCTCTTCTGATGGAGGTCCTCTGGCTGATCCTGTTCCTGAATTATCCAGTGGTCTAGTTTTCTGTGAACAAAGACAGCTGCAACCTGCGGTATTTCAAAATAGTACTGGTCCTGGAGAACCTGATCTAAAAGTTTCTGCAGATTTATCCCCGTCTCCAGTTCACTATGATGCTGGTCCAAGCTCACACTTGCATAACAGTGACCTCCACACGGTGTTGCAGAAGCCAACCATAGATGTTTCTTTGAAGAGAGAGGTTTCCCCCATTGACGGAGATTTTATATACTACCCAGACCAGAAGGTTGAGAAGTTGGGATTTGAAGAATATGTTTCTAAGAAGTCAAATGTAGCAGATGTTGCATTGATCCAAACAAACCCGGCAATTGACAATGAAGATCGAAAGCGGCTGGAGTCAGTGGTTCTTGTGGAAGATGTGACCGATAGTGTGCTCTCTTCTTTTCAATCTTTACCTGCAGTTGACCCTCATGTTGCAGATGCAACTGGCAGTGGTATTGTATCCCCTAATGCAACAGAGTCAGATAGTCCCATTCCAGGATCTGAGTCTGAGGTATCATTGATTGAATTATTTACTAGTCTTAGGTTTTATAAAATATGCATATATTTGTAGGTTTGAGTTGCTACATAATTGTTTTATAGGATTCTAAAGCTGATTATCGAGACAAGAATGAATCTCTTACTGATGCAATGATAGCTGAAATGGAAGCCAGCATTTACGGCTTGCAGGTTCTATGTTAATTTTTTATATCTTCTTAATATGCTTTTATCATATTATCAATGCGCTTGGAAGCTAAAATGTGGTTCAAACCTTAAATGTTCTGTCATGACCTACTTATTGAGAGTTGATGTTTAGTTTGGAGAAATAGTAGGTCTTTTTGACGAGAATGAGTACTTTTTCTTTTTGAGTCTCTGAATTGCCTGTTAAAGTTGATTAATTGATCTCCTTCTAGTGCACCATCTTCCTGCTGTCAGTTTTGAACAGTAACAGATTGATTTTAACTTAACCTCTCTTATGCCTCCAAACTTGTCACTGTTATAACTAAAATATAAACAATAACCTGTATTCCTTATGCTTAATTAATTGAGTTAAAGGAATTTGAGTGGTATGATTTAGATAGTGAAACTATCAAGTGCTTTATTTTGTGTATCTATGTCAAGCTAACCTAGTATTAAGATGATTTATAATTTATGAAGTTGAGTCCAAACAATCTTGATATAGATAATGGGTTATATTAATGGACAAAAAGCATCAAATTGTGGGGTTGACTTGGCATTCCAACCAATAATAACACTGGTGTTGTGTGCTATTCTAGTATGCATGAGGCTACATAAAGTAGAATTGCTATTAATGTGTAAATTTCAGTCCCTATTGGTAGTTTGCACAATCAGTCCTCCCCTGGTTGGATGACACCGTTTTGACTGGAATCTGTCAAAATTCTAGCTCTGTACCACATTAATCATGATTATTTGTAGGCTTTTAAGTGCACCTAGCCACACACAATCCCATATGCAATTGCGCAAAACACATGTTCACCATCATTTTTTTTTTTCTGAAGATCTTTACTTCATATGATCAGGCTTGTAAGAGTTCAAACTTCCAATAATTATCTTCTAGTTGATACTCTCTTCGTAATTTTTAGAACTAGAAATATCCTAAGTTTACTAAGTCAGCCCCAACCATACCTAATAAGATAGGAGTTTTGTGTTTACTGTGATGGTTCGTTTACCTACTCAGCGGTTGGTTGTTAAAAAATGTTTTAAGATGTTGTATTATTTACGGATTAATGACCAGCTTCCTGTCAATTTATTTCTTATCTTGCTTCTTAATCAATCTGTATGTAAGGCTAAAGTTTTTGATGCTGATACAGATTATAAGGAATGTTGATCTTGAAGAGCTACGAGAGCTTGGATCTGGTACTTATGGAACTGTCTATCATGGAAAATGGCGGGGAACAGATGTTGCTATAAAGAGAATTAAAAAGAACTGCTTTGCTGGGAGATCATCAGAGCAAGAACGGCTGGTGGGTTCCGACGCATTTTCATCCCAGTACCTTTTCTATTTAAAACTTTAAATACTTAGTATTTAAGAAATTTAAAACAGTTTTGTAACAATTTGGGCCATAGATTCTAGAATATATTTGCAGTCCAAGGGTCATATGAGTCATTTTCTAGTCTAACAATCAAATTCTGACCGCCCTGAGCACACTGTTTAGATTCAAGCCTTAGGAGCGTTACTGCATGCAAAGATGCTATAATAACCATTCCTCCTTAAAAAAAAAAAAAAAAAGGGAGAGAGAGAGAGAAAGTGTAATAGATTTGGTGCAACTAATCATCGTTACAATTTTTTTAGTTAGAGTTCTAGATAGAATGCAAAAGCAAAAGAAATAGCCAGGTGCAAGGAATGCCCAAGATTAGGGAATATGTGAAAGAATGGTTGAATCCGACTTTGAAATGAGAATAAGAAGAATCAGAAGATTAAAATGAACACACCAAAATTCAACTGAGATATTGAAGTTTTTCTTTATCTACCAGTACTTGTGTATGTTTAGTTGCTATAGTAAAAAATAGAACAAAGAGGTAACCTTCTTTCTGTGATAATAAAGATTTCCTCTATACCAACCGTTAAAAGTTTTAAGTAATATCGGTCATTTCCTGTTTGCTTAAATATTTTGGATTATTGGTGTATCAATATGGTACATCTCTAATCTTTTAATTAAATTGTATTTGGCATTTCTTTGCATCCACGTGATAAGTCTGTTGATAAAATATAGCCATGTATGTGAAATTTTTTAAAAATTATTGTTGTACACTTTTTTATTATTTTAAGTTTTCAGGTTTACTAATGGTATTAAATGCTGTTCGTTTTTTAATTGTTATTGTCACCTGCATGTGATGTTGATGAATATTTGGTTGTACAGACCAAAGACTTCTGGAGAGAGGCACAGATCTTGTCAAATCTTCATCATCCTAATGTCGTTGCATTTTATGGGGTAGTACCAGATGGAACTGGAGGAACCTTGGCCACCGTAACTGAATTTATGGTCAATGGATCGCTTAGGCATGTCCTGCTTAAGAAGGATAGGTAATTCTGCTTCTATATCTTAAATTTAATTAGCTTTCATTTGTTTGTTAATGCTATTACTGGTTTTTGGAATTCTTATGCAGATCACTTGATCGTCGTAAAAAGCTTATTGTTGCCATGGATGCAGCTTTTGGCATGGAATACTTGCATTCAAAAAACATCGTCCATTTTGATCTGAAATGTGACAATTTGTTGGTAAATTTGAGGGATCCACAACGACCCATATGCAAGGTAAAACTTAACTAATTGTAGTCTGTTTTCATGCAAAACTATTGATTATGCTTTCTATGTGCGCTATGATTCTATCGGCTCTGAAAGCCCACACTGAAGAACAACAAAACTTCAAAGCAGAAGAGAGTATTTCCATTTCAAGATGGTTTTGTAAATACTTGAGGCAGAAATCAATTTCCTGAAAACCATTTGTTCAATATTACGCTGAAGTATAATCTAATAGATACTAAATTGGAGGAACTTTGTTGGGGGAAACACCTGTCCCCCACTTTAGTTTTCAATTTTATTGTTTGTATTCTTCAATTTCAAGATTGGTCACAGTATGTTGTTTTCTGCAGGTTGGAGATTTTGGATTATCAAGAATCAAAAGGAATACTTTGGTATCAGGTGGTGTACGAGGAACGCTCCCATGGATGGCACCTGAACTATTAAATGGTAGCAGTAGCCGGGTTTCTGAGAAGGTTAGTTAAATCCTACAAAATATGTCTCCTCGTAAAAGCAGTAAATGTTTCATGGTAAAGCAGTGTACAATAAGATATTCTATTTGACAGGTTGATGTTTTCTCATTTGGCATTTCGATGTGGGAAATCTTGACTGGTGAGGAACCTTATGCAGATATGCATTGTGGTGCTATTATTGGTAAGTTTGTCATTGACCTCATTATTATAAAATTCCAAAATCATATACATATTGTTTTTGGGGAAGAAATATGAACAGTTATGCTATCATAACAGTTCATATTTGATTTTTTTTTTTTTTTTCTTTCTTATTTAAAGTGTGCAATAGAATTATTTTCGAAATCTCCGAATGATAATGGAACTGAAGCAATAAGTTGTGTTGTCATAGAATTCAAGGGAACCAATTAATCTATTTATTTGGTGCCTGAAACATGATGAAACCACCTTTTTTCTCCTTTATGTTCGGTTTCATAGCATCACAAGACTTCTACTTCACGCTGTGCTTGCACTTGTTTGGTAAGCTACAAGGAAGTCATTGGTAGGCAGATATGAAGAAGATTACTTCTTGTTTAATAAAAACATTTTTTTTCCCCGACACCCTTATTCCAATCTCCCTAGTATGGGTAACATTGAATTTGTAGGCTTCTTATACCTACATGAGATCCACTAACTAAGAAGCTAATATTATTGAACCCTAATATTATTTTCAATTAATATTTACTTTCTATTCTTTCCACCGTTTAGATATGAAATATGTGCTACTCTCTTATCTGTTTTGTTAAACTTTTGTTTGCTGATCTGTTTTGTGAACTCTGTGAAGGTGGGATTTTGAAGAATACACTTCGACCAACTATACCTGAACGCTGTGACCCTGAATGGAGGAAGCTGATGGAAGATTGTTGGTCACCAGATCCTGAAGCGAGACCATCATTTACTGAGATAACAAACAGGTTGCGATCTATGTCAATGGCACTTCAGGCAAAGGGACAGAATAGCCAATCAAGACAGACGAAGCCTAATGTTTCCTAATGAAAGATGTACATGAACCTGAACCTGCTTCAAACTTCAGGTACAGGGACTCTTTTTGTATCATCAATAGAAAGCCCTTACGATTGGGGATCACAGCTTCTGAGGGTGAGCATGATAAGAGCTTTTGGCGTACTGTTTCTTTTTCTTCCTACTTCTGTTAATAGAAATATCTTTATTTTTTATTCTTTTTTGTAAAGAAAGAAAAAGAAAAAGGAAAAAAAAAAAAAAAAACAGCTAAGATCATAGTAATAGGCGATGAAGGGTGCATTTACAGTTCTCTGATTAGTTTACTATGATGTTTTTGCCGGGAAAATTGGGTTTTGTTTGTAATTTTTGTATATACAGATGTTAAAATGGAGTAGTTATGGATATATATCTTATTAGTTTACCATGCGGCAACAAAAGGTTCTTTCTCTTTCTGATTCCAATTTTGTTTTTTCTCTTTTATTCTGAACCTTTTATATATATTTTTTTTAACTTTTTTTAATTATTAAGAAATCAGTTGCTTTGAAACTTCTACCCAAGAGGGATCCTTTTTTCAATGAAGGCGCTTTGGTTTCCTTGGATTGCCTAATGAAAATACTCAAGTTTCAAAACCTTTTTCATTTCAACGTTAAAATGGATTAATAATAATAAAAAAAAAAAAGTTTATATGTATATATAATTTTTAGAGGTTTTCACAAGTCATTTGCACACTGAAAATAACATGCTTCTTCCAAAAAGTTCCAATTCTTTAATTAAAAAAAAAAAATGTAGACTAATCTGAGAAAGAACATTGAAGTAACGAAGTTACAAGGAAGCCATCGGTCAAATTAGAAAAAGAATGATGGCTCTAAGAGTTAGAAGAAAATTGAATGATTAAACAAGACTTTCCAAGTTGAATTCACACATGAAATATTATTGAAAATATTCCACCACCACCATTACAACAACACCTTTCTTGGCGGTATTCCACAACTTGCTTAAATTTAATTAAAAAATAAATCCAACAAATGGTGAAATGTCAATCAGGTCCTTTTTTACTTTTTACAATATCATATCTCTTAGACAAATGGTGGGTGTAATTATTTTTGTTATTTTTTCTAATAACACTGAGTTTTGTCTATTACACTTGCGTCAGTCTCGCTGCTTGTGAAAATAAGAGTAATATTACATTTACAAAGAAATTTTACAAAGATCTTCGTATAAAAGGATGTGATAAAAAATGAATGAAAGAATAAATTTAATGAGTTTCACTTTTTGTTTTACTTTTTTATTTATTTTTTACTACCTTATTTTGTATAAAAATCTTCATAAGACTTTTTTGTAAGTATAATATTATTAGTAAAAAAATTGGGGCCAATTGACGAAATTCTTACTAGTATAAATTGTTATAAAATAACTATCCAGTATAGTTATTTTAATACATTTTTTTTTTTTCTCAAATTTCAAATAATTTTATAATTATTCAGAATTATGAATAAAAAACTAACCAATCATATCATATAGGAAGAGTTCGAAGTAGCAAAATGTGGACGGTACGGGGCCCTCAGGGCTCGGACTCATGTGGAAATCGTGGACAAAAACGTGACTTGGATATTTCTATACGTGATTTGTGTTTGGGTCAACTTTCTTAGGTCTTTTTCTTCACTACATTTTCCTAGAAATTTTTCACTGGATCACTTTATTTTGCTCTGCTCCTCCATAAATACCACAACTCAACCACATAACATTATTACATTTCAAATACATTACATTATAAAACTTGAAGAGTGAGAGATGGAGAGAGCTCTCAACAGACAGAAAATTCTGCTTCAACATTTACTGCCACCTTCTTCTGCTTCACAAATCAATGAATCAGATGCTCTATCTGTAAGTTTAACTGATCTCTGTTTTTTTTCAAGGTTTTTTTTTTTTTCAACTTCCTGTCCTGAGATTTTTTTTTTTTTTTAATTAAGGCGTCTACCTGTGCGGCTGGGGACAGTGCTGCATATCATAGGAAGGCTGCTTTTGGAGATGATGTAGTGATTGTTGCGTATGTTTAATGTTTTGTCAAAAATTGGATATTGGCCTGTTAATTAAATTGAGATATGGTTTTGAGTCTTTTGTAACTCAATTTCACTAGTGACTAGTATTGATTTTGCTGCAATAATTGTACCGAACAGTGCATATCGAACTGCTATTTGCAAGGCGAAGCGCGGAGGCTTCAAGGATACCCTCGCAGATGATTTATTTGCGCCCGTTCTTAAGGTTTGATTGATGCCTATGCCTTTAATTTAATTGTCTCGAAAGGAATTTGTTAATAAACTTACTAACAAATGCCTTTAATATCACTTTGGGCAAAATTTCTCTAGCATTCATGCTTTCTTTGATAATATATGTTAAGGATACATATTCTTTGCAGGCATTGATAGAAAAAACAAAGTTGAACCCAAGTGAAATCGGAGACATAGTTGTTGGTACTGTTTTGGCGCCAGGCTCAATAAGAGCTACTGAGTGTCGGATGGCAGCGTTCTATGCTGGTATTCCTGGTATGCTTTTCATTTGTAGCATATGATTATGCAATTTGATCATATTAAACGGAGTCATTGCCAAAAGTTTCTAATTTTGATAAATTAATATTAAAAAGAAAGAAATCTATTATTTGAATGCTTCTAATACACATGATTAAATATGATGTCAAGACCAAGACAGAATGGTTTCCTTTACATGTAGTGTTTATTAATTTCTTTTTAAATTCTTATTTGCTCTTGGGACGCAATATATCTGTTTCAAACAGAAACGGTACCCATCAGAACTGTCAACAGGCAGTGTTCATCAGGCTTACAGGCTGTTGCTGATGTTGCTGTTGCTATAAAAGCTGGACTGTATGACATTGGTAAGAGTAATTTTAATGTGTTACTTTCTTTATTTCCCTTCATGGGCTCGTGAAAATGATTCTGGAGTGCGTATAACGACCTTTGTCTTTGGTCTTAACCTACTTTGCTTCAATTGCAGGTATTGGGGCTGGATTGGAGTGTATGACCCAGGATGCTATTGGCAGAGTTCCCAAAGTTAACCCAAGAGTATATTCAAAGTGTAGTCGCTATTGAATTGTGTTTAATTTTGAAATGGGTCCTTCAAGTGAATTTGTACTGTAAACAGGTAGACAGCTTTGCTCAAGCCCGAGATTGTCTTCTTCCAATGGGTATTACTTCTGAAAATGTTGCACAGCGTTATGGTGTGACACGGCAAGAGCAAGACCTGGCTTCTGTGAGTCTATAGAACCTTTATTGCATTATTGACTCTTGACGCGAACATATTGTTTAATAGCTTAATACCTTAAATTTGTGAGAATAGATTGAATCTCATAGGCGTGCTGCTGCTGCAACTGCATCTGGTAAATTTAAAGATGAAATTATCCCAGTTCATACTAAGGTAAATTTTGTGTTGAATATCCATGCACAGAATATTTTTTTATATATTTATTAATTAATTCGTTGCATAACTGATAAACATTGTATTCAGATTGTGGATCCAAAAACTGGAAAAGAGAAGCCTGTCACAATTTCTGTGGATGATGGTATCCGACCCAACACAAGCATGGCAGATCTAGCAAAGCTGAAGCCTGCATTTAAAAAGGATGGGGCCACAACTGCTGGTATTTAAATCATAAAACTTACGAAGTTTGTCTGTCAAAATTTGGATCAGCAGAATCATACATTCCAACTGAAATTTATCTGAAAACTGTATCATAGGGAATGCTAGCCAAGTGAGTGATGGAGCTGGAGCAGTCCTCCTTATGAAGAGAAGTTTGGCCATGCAGAAGGGACTACCAATCCTTGGTGTGTTCAGGTCAGATCTAGTTATATTAATAGGATTGACTTGCCCTACATTAAATATGCATTGACTAGGAACCATAGGATCTAAGTTTAGGGCCTTTACTTTTTTGCCTCTTATGTTGTGTGACAAGGTTTGATGTTTAGCATGTTCTTTTATGAAGTTCTTTCCCCTATCTGCATGCCATAATTATACACACAAATACAAAATAAAAGGGTTGATCATTCAATTGCTTCCCTCTATCAACTAGCCTAAACAAAATGAGCATGGTTCAATTGGTATCAAAAGCTTCCGAAGTATAGTATGGAAATTTTAGAGGAGATGATAGAGACCAACATTGACATATTGAAATAATCAACGGAATGGTAACCATGTCAGCACTGATTAAATGGTTACTCTAAGCAAACTCTGATTTGGGATGTAGAGCAAAATAGGCAGGATATTACGTGGGATATGTGCAGATATAAGTTTTGATTAAAAGCTATTACACTGTTTTGCTTCAGGAGCTTGATATAACATGTTGGATGATTTCTTTCTGAATGTAGTTTTCTACAGAAATTCACATTCTTAGACCTTACAATGCAATGCGCATTCCTTGCAGAAGTTTTGCCGCTGTCGGTGTAGATCCTGCTGTCATGGGCATAGGTCCAGCTGTTGCAATACCAGCTGCAGTGAGGTCTGCAGGTCTTGAGCTTGATGATATTGACTTGTTTGAGATAAATGAGGTATTAGTTTCATATTGTTGTTCTAATTACCATGGTAAATATGTTTAGAGTTCAGAACTTTTAATCGAAGCAAATGAATGGCTCATCGTCCAGGCATTTGCATCTCAGTATGTCTATTGTTGTAAGAAACTGGAGCTAGCTCATGAAAAAGTCAATGTCAATGGAGGTGCAATCGCACTTGGGCATCCTTTGGGTGCTACTGGTAAGTTGTATGACATTTCGTATAGAAAACCTCAAAATTGTTGATTAAAGGTTGCACTGTATATCTATCCATATTGTCACTGACAACTGGAGATAATATATTAGTATGTGCACACAAGTACTTAGTATGTATATGTTTTGTGAGGCATGATCATATATTATTTTCTGGGGAGCATGACATCTGCAGTAAAAACAGTGAGCCTTTTTTGGTCATAAGAAGTTTTGATCTTATACAGTAGAACTCTTACTGTAGGTCCATAATATTAAGATGCCTACTGTTTTATGTATTAGGTGCGCGTTGTGTTGCTAGTCTGTTGAATGAGATGAAGCGTCGGGGCAAGGACTGTCGCTTTGGAGTGGTATCCATGTGCATAGGTCTCCCTCTCACTCTCTCGTATATATGAATATAAAAATATTGACCAATTTAGTTGTCTAGTCGTGTACTGAAGCATCTAAATTTTATCCTCTTAGTTCTTAATCATCTGGGCATGTATCATCAATGCAGGCTCAGGAATGGGGGCTGCAGCAGTTTTTGAAAGAGGGGACTGTGTTGATGAGTTGTGCAACGCTCGAATGGTTGAAAAGAACACTCTTTTATCTAAGGATGCTCAGTAGATACATTAGTTTGCCTCTTTCCTGTCCAAGACTGGCTTGGTTGATTACTAAAATTATCTCATAAAGGGTACCGATAGGAAACAAATAAAGCCTTTTCTGACACCAGTTAAATGACCTGGTCTCAGATGTACCGGTAATTTGAGTTATATTCAATTTGTAACTTCAAATGTAGGTTGTTATCCTGCATGACGTAATTAATTTGGGTTTTAAATAGATAAATCTCTTGTTGATTAGGATTTAACTGAGGTTGTTGGCGTAAGTATGGTTATTCACCACAAACCTATAAACTGAGTAAACCGTTCTGATTGCTTGTTTAGATATTAAACAAGTCAAACTGAACAAAAATAAATAAAACTGAATACGTATTGTTGATGTTTGAGGTTCAATCTTTGTTTCTTTTTAAAGTTTCTGGTAGTTGTTCACTTTTGTTGTTATGATAAACAATCATTTCTTTCATATTATTTTTCTTTACAATGAAATAGCTGCAATGATAAATTGTTGAAAAAGCACAAGTTGAATCAACAAAACGAAACACAAAATCTAAAGCAACAATAAAAGGTTTTATTTGTTTATTTACTTGGGTACAGACTCTGATCAGCACTAATCTTTGCTCCCCACCGGAGATGGGTGCTGTCAGCAGCTCATTTATGCAGTGGACAAATCACTGATCTAGCAATAGCAATCATCGGTATATGCCCTATGCCATAGAAACCAAATATTAGAAAGAAAAAACCATGATAATTCGCTCTGAAATCAGTATTTTGTAACATTATTGACCTAGGAACTTCATGGAGCACCAAAGTGATTAACTTCTATACATCCTTGTAAAACAACTGATATTTTGGAATGCGCTCTGGAGGTAAAGGGCAATTAACAATTAGCTTCCCTTTCATGGCTCCCCTAAATATTGCCTGCAAGAATGGGATGCAAATGTTAACATGTTAGTCGGCCTGTGCATATCATCTTGTAATATATCAACTACAATACACAAGCAACAGAACCACACACAAAAGGCTGAAAATTGATAATCCCTCGAAATAAAGTAACTTTCTTGGCTAACATATGAGTACATTCTCAACCAGAAAAGCTAATATATCCTAAATAGTAGCATACTATAATATATGCATAATGTTCTTTCCAGTGTTAATTATGCCCCAAAGATGGTGCATTGTCCTTTTGAAAATTAAATATTTTCATACAGCCAAACTTCGACACATGAATAAAGCAGGTGTTGGGAACTGGGTAATCCATTCCTATAACGTGTTTTTTTCCGAATTTGAGAGATTAAATTCAATATCTGCTAATCTTTCAGCTACTAATGACACACATAAAAAACAAAAAAAAAAACAAAAAATTAAAAAACAATAAAAAGTTTGCAGAGGTTGACCCAACAAATATTTTACATGTAATGAACTCCATTGTGTCAGTTGAAAAGAGTGTTGCATAAATTTCATGATAGCGTAAAACAGTAGAAGTACGATAGTCGATAGCCATATCCACAGAGCAAGGTACAAACTAAATTGAAGACATGTTTGAGTTTGCTAATTGCTGAGGAATGAAAGATGCCATACCTCTACAACATCAACAAAGTCTTGTTTTCTATGAAATGCACCCACCCATTTCGTGTGATCAGCAGTCCTGTATGAACAAAAAAACTAAATAAATAAATCCTATACTGTGAATTGGTAGTCTCAAAAGAAAATTTTGCCTGTTAAATACACAGAAGAAACTTGGCCCCCAACAAAAGGAGAGTAGGACCTAGTACTCTGCAAGTAGTTAATTAAGTTAGCTACACGATTTGGGAAAGCCCTTCTTAATCTGGTTTTTCATTATAAGTTTGGAATACCTTTCAAAGAAATACCTAGAGAGCGGCGTTTTTTTTATTTTTTATCAGAATAATCCCTTTAATTCAAAGAGCTTCAATTCAATATTTGGTAATTGTACTAAAAATTTCAACAATTCAATAATAGAATGTGCGTTGGTATTTCAAAAATGAAACAAGTTCATAGAAAATTAATAATAATAACGGAAAAAAACAGAGTTATACAATACAAACCCAGAATCCATCTTCATATGATGAGCATTAAAGAAGAAAACGGTTGACGGAATGAAAGTGATGTCGAAGTACTTCACATAAACTTGAATATCTTCCGAATCAATATCGACCAATGCCACGGTGGCAAACTTTGAAACATCGCGTGCCGATTTTACAAGCTACAAAGAAGAAAACATGAGAAGGATAGTGTGGAATTGAAAAGAATATAAAGAAGAAAGAGATAATACGATGTCGTCAAGCTGGAGACAGACGGCATCGGTGGAGCGACCGAAGCGGAGGATGAGAACCTTGTCGATTGTATCTCTAATGATGCTGTCTATTTCTTTCTTCTTTGTTAATGTGGTTGATAAATAATCCATCTTCAACCCACACCGATTTTAATTTGAATTTGAATTTTGAAACCCTAATATAAGGATGAGCTCTGGAGTTGTGAATTAAATGGGGGTGATGCGCCGAATGGGTTAGGATGGTGATGGATGTAAACAATGCGACCGGAAGAAGGTGAGTTGAATACGTGAGGGGTGGCCAAAACGGTGAGGGTGGGGGTGGGGGACGATGGTGAGGAGATGAGAGTGGAGGTGGGAGGTGACAGCGAGCGAAGGGGGTGGTGAAGAAGAAGAAGAAGAAATAAAGAATAAAAAGACTAGAAGAGGTAATGGAAATAAATAAAGGAAAAAAGAAAAAAAGAGGTGCTTTTATCTTTAATCCATTCACAATTTCACATAAAGAAGGGGCAGAATTGTAATTGTAGGATTTTATATTCGGTTCCCATACCCGCTTGAACCGAACCGAAAATTAGATTCAATTCAAAGCCAATCAGCCATAAACCGGTTTAGATTCGATTCGACTTATAACCGAAACCGAATTTCTAGTTCGGTTCATATAAACACCAAACCGGTTTGGGTACCGGTTTTGAACAGCACTAGTGAATTTGCCGGAAAAAAACGTAATATAATGTAATATTACGTTCCGACTCGAGCAAAGCTGTTGAGTTTTAGCCTTTAGGTTCCCTTTACTAATCAGCACCCTCTCCTAATTAAAAAAATGAAAAGGAATGCGCTACTTAAAATGTCAACAATTTTTTTATGAATTTATCAATTAAATCTAATAAATACAAATTAATCAAAGAATTAATGAATAGATTAGTTTTGTTTTGAAATTATCTGTCATATAATCAAAATGACTTTTACAGTGGAGTGAACTCATAATCATAATAATTCAGAAGTTGAAATTTTATAGATGTCCAGGGACAACTCTTCAGCAGTAACAAGACGAAGATTAAAGGATTTGTTTAAAAAAAACAAAATATTTGAAATTGTCTTTATAATAAACAGCATTTTAAATTTAAACATAATCTATCACTAACATTACAATAGAAGAATCCACCACTGTTGCCCAACACAACCATGTCACTGGAAATCATAATAAGAACTTCTCCTGGTGCACATGTCCTCATTAAAAATGAGGATATACTCCGGACCAATCACATTCAGTGAAAAATTTAAACAATTTAGATTCCACGCTCTCATTCTGGATCAGGTGAGCCACCAGGAACCAGCTGCATTGCAAACAAAATTCATATTAGTAAAGAATATAAATAAAATTTTGTCTTCCCTCCCTAATAATCTTTTCTGTCTCACCCCTTTCCCCAGGATTGCTACAAGGAATATAAGTTCCCAAACAGACAGGCAATGCCCATCATTCACAAATTATGACTTTGACGTATCTCCGACTAACACACACTAAACTGAAAACCAAAGCTATAGGAGTGCATAGACTTAGAAGAAAACCATTCACGTTAATACTCACAATAGCAATGTTGTTTCCATTAAGCAAAATCTGATCAAGCTTTGTGATCCGTCTACCTTCAGATGTGATCTCACTGTAATACGAACACAGAAGCCGGAAATTAAACAAAATTAGATATCAACACATGAAGTCTCTCAAATTATGAAAAAAAAAAAAAAAAAAACCAGTATAGATTCACATGATCATTATAAAAAATGATGTATACATGCACACAAATAGGGATTCTGGAGCAATTGAAATGGTATTAAATATGTCCCATTACTCCATTGTTCTTTCCTGTCCTTCCATAACTTATGAGATTGATTAAAAATATCCAACTTTATTCACTGAAGAAATATAAGTCTCTGTTCATTGCTTGCAGAAGCAAATAGATAATCCACTGCTATACCTAAACATATAAACTTGCTATGATTCCCATAAGTGTGAGGACGTTCAACATAGAAAATCATTTGCAAAGCCGATATTAAAGAAGACGGTGTCACACAAGAGAAACAAACAGAAGCCCCAAGCTAGAACAAAGAAAAAGAATAATACTCCAGAACATATGATTAGGAGATTTGCTCTCATTAATGTCATCAAAATCCGAGCTCGATACTAGGCTAGAAAGTTGAACTACAGCTTGCTCTCCTAACCAACCAGACAAGCATACAATCTATAATTTTTAGGGCACAGATTAAGTATCAAAGTACTCATTGAAAATCATGATGTAAATTCTGATTCAGGAATTCAGCATCTGTCATAAGAGCTGGGGATCATATCCTGTCAGCAGTTCAATCAAGATAACCTATATAAAAGTCAAAATGGGCCACCAAAGACCCCTTGAAAGCTGACCAACTCCCCACCATCCCAGATTCCCTAAAGACTGTTGCTTTGGAGTTTAACTTGACAAAGTCATCAGTTGAGGGTTGACAAGCAGAATGTGTCTGTACATCCCTAAGGGTTGAGAAAAGTATAATCCCTGATAAATGCAGATCTAAAAGCCAAAAATAGACTAATACATGCATTTCATCTTCTGCTAAAAGAAATTCTCCAAAAATTTCATTCAAAAGTAGACTTGCTTCACAATTTTATGACATAGCCAACATACCACAATGATAATTACATCTATCACCCAATCTTAAGCCAAGGAATGGAAAATCTTCCTTGTCAGCCCCAAGTATATACATGTCATTTCAAAGAGGAATTCCCACATTAATCAGGTGAATTCGCATTAATTACAAGACTAAATGGTTATCCTTGCCGTAGATAATACATGCACAAAAGAAACTTTGTTGGGTTTTCCTCCAAGTGGGAAACAACTCAACTGAGCCTTCATTTCCTACAGAAGAATTGCAAGTTTGCAACCATTTACTCTTACCACATAAACAATCTCAAATTCACAATCCAAGTTCCCCATAATCAAATAATGACTTCAAAGTTATCTAATTGTCGGCCATACAAGCAAAACATAAGCCTCTCTCACACTATTAGATACATATGCAATTTTGAGAGAGAGTGAGGGGCTTACTCCTGCCTTCACCATCTTGAGTTCCCTAACTGCTACTACGCTTTCCAAAAAAGACATCAGAATCTACATATAGTAACAAAAAATCAAATTCAACAGAATTACCTTTCACGGTTCCAGAACAGACACAAACACCAAACACAACACGAATCATTATGACAGCACCACCCAATTTCAACACATCCCTCTCCCTCAAAATATAGAAGCTCAATCACACATTAACCCCTTTCTCTAGCTCAAACCATACACAGTACAAAAGCATAAACTAAAACCCTAGAAAACCCAACTCACTCGATAAACATAAACCCTAAAACATAAACGATAACAAATAAGTATTTACAGAATGAGAAAGAGAGAAATACTATTCAGTAACGTCTTCGAGGACCATGTTGACGTAGACATCGAATCCCCTAAGAGTACCAACAAGCTCCTTGTCTCCTTTCATTATCACCCATATTTTGGACCCTATGCACCTGTCTATTAGCTCTACACCACAAACAAGTTTTTTTTTTTAATTATTTTCTCAAGAAAATTACGAGAGGAAATTGAAGGAAATGTAGATATAGGTACCTGATGGTAGGAGCTGCGAAGGATTGTTGGCCATGGCGCTAAGGACAGAAAGACTTGGCGATCGATTAAAGGGCCTTCTTCTTTTAGGCTTTTGGCTGCAGTTAGTCACTCAATTACAAGTTTCTTTTGTTTCTGTCAAATTTTTACTCTAGGATTGTCGCAACTCGCAATTTCGCTATTGCACGTGATTATATATATAACCTCTCTCCAATCATAATGTTAACACCTATTAAACTTATTAAAATAAAAAAGATATAACTTAATTGGGGCACGTAATAACAATTTTTTTTTTATTTTTTTTTTTATAATTAATAGTACAATACAACTTCTTTATAGTCATAATATTGAGACCAATTAAATTTATTACTATAAGAATGTTATAATTTAATAGAAATATAGTTACAAGAATTATTGTTTTGATTTCTTATTTTATAATTTATATTTTAGTAGTATTATGATTTCAACTCATTGTTTTAGTAATATTAGAATAGTACAGAAATAGATATTAAAGAGTCACTGTAAAATTGAGTGATCAGATTTGATAACTTCACTACCCTAATCAAATGGATATTAATGTCTTCCTCAATCATCCAAATGAGCAACATGTCGTATATGTTTTAATTGAAGAATAAATCATTACTTGAATTAGACAAGAAGAGGAAGAAGATAATCATGAGGATGATAGTACGAAAATACCAAAAATTCAATGCCAAGAAGCTCTAACATGCTTGAGAGCTAGAAATATTTTGGTTTCAACAAGAAAGTGTCCATGTTGGCGGCTTATTATGAACCTGCAAGAGAAAATATATGTTAACAACTTTAAAGCATAAATCATTATCTCAAACAACTTTAGATCAATATTTTATTTCATCTTAAACTTTTAACGTAACATAGCATATATTTTTTGTAATATACATGTAATTATTACTATGTAGAAGCAATTTTTTTAAGATGAGACATAGAAAAATTATAACTTATTACAATGTGAAATTTATTATTATTTATAACTGACCCAAGTTGAGACCAAAATTTTTTATGACTACATGGAGGTTATTCCTATATAGAGTATCATTATAGAGAGGTTCTACTGTATTAGGATTCCAATTAATTGTTCTAGTAGTATTATGATTTCTTATTTACTTTTCATGATGTAAGAATATTACTTGATTACTTATTTTATAATTCATGTTCATTGTTTTAGTACCAATAAGATAGTATGAAAATATATATTGAAGAGAAATTATAGAATTAAGTGATCAAATTCGACAACTTCACTCCACTAATCAAATGGATATTAATGTCTTCCTCAATTATCCAAATGAGCAACAAGTCGTGTATACTTTAACTGAATAATAAATCATTACTGGAATTAGACAAGAAGATAAAGGAGATAATCCTGAAGATACTAAAAGTTTCGTGTCAAAAAACTCTAAAAAATGCTTAAGAAGCTATAAATATTTTGGTTTCAACAATAAGAAGTTCATGCTGACGATTTATTATGTGCATGTAAGAACTCCAAAACATAAATCATTGTCCCAAACAATTTTAGATAAATATTTTATTTAATCTTAAACATTTAATATAACATAATATGTATCTTTTGTAATATACACATAATTATTATTATATAGAGACAAGTTCCTTGAGATGAGACATTAAAAAATTATATTTTATTACAATGTAAAATTTAGTCTTATTTATAACTGGCCCCAAGTTGGAAGTAGAATCATTAACTTAACTACTAAAAATAAGTGATGAAAATTTAATTTAAAATTATATATCCTGACTAATACCACAATATTATGATTAAATGAGTCATAGTAATACTAGACCCACAATCTAATCTCATAACATTCTCTCATAATCTTTGACGTAGTCAGGGTCGGCAGGTGAGGCACCTGCCTAAGGCCCCAAAAAAATAGGGGCCCAAATTTTTTATAAATTTTTTTTTTTTTTTTTTTTTTTGTTTGAATATCTTACAAAAATGAAAATGGTTTATAATTTATTATCTAAGCCAAGGGGCCCCCCCAAAAAAAAAAAAACCAAAAAAACCCAAATTTATTATAAACTTTTTACATATATTCCCACCAAAAGTTTAACAAAATAGCAAGTTTGTACCCTTAGTTTTATATATTCTAGTTTATACCCCTAAATTAACACATTGAATCTCTTTTAACAATAGAAGACTAAAATAGTCATTTACATATCTTAAATTACTCACCCCCAATTCAATCCCAAAATTTGACATTCACATAAATCATCTCTAGCCCTCTTCTGCTGCCAGTGGTTTGGAGTTGATTTCGGTCGATTTTCTCACCAAAATCGACCGAAATCATCATTTTATCATTTCCCAACCTTGATAGCCCTCAATTTGACTAATTTTTGATGAATCTCGCAACTCAACTCCACCACACGACAGCCATTTCTAACCTTTTTGGTATGTACCCGACATTATTGGCCTTCCCCGACACCACCATCTTCCTCCCCTCAACCCTCTCACCACAACCCCTATCATACCTTATCCGTTTACTCTGCCAATCGCCGGCCATCGATACCTTTTGGGCCGTGACTTCTCAAGCTTTTTCTTATCAATCTTGGCATTGGAAATCACCCATTTCACCACCCATCACTTCTCCAACATCTACTCTCCAAAACCCCCCACCAACCTAACCTTGTTAGCCTATCGATTGCCGTCTACCTCTCCTAGTGATTTTTTATCTCAAAAGGCAAAAAAAATAAAATAAAATTAATAATAATAAATAAAATAAAATAAAATAATTTTTTTAATATATGTTTATATTATTAGAGGGCCCCAAAGTAACTCATGTCTAGGGTCACAAATGTTCTAGAGACGACTATGGACGTAGTAGTTTATAATTGGTTAGTTCGTAAATAGGTCTTGCCTACTTGCCTATCCATTTGTAAGCTGACCAATTGTTAGTCGTTGATGGGGTTTGCACAAAGGAAATTAAAAATAAAATCCCTAACAATAACATTGAACCCAAGAACCTTATACCTAATTTATGTTATTTACATATGAAATAATATTGAATATAAAATTTACAGATTTAACACTAACGTTTAAAGGCTCCTTCAATCGATACGAATCACTCCCACTCTAAGATAAAAGTGAACTCTCAGTATCTGCACGAATGGAGATCGACTTGCGGTCTCAAGTGCTAGGAAGACACACAAGCAAAAAATATGCATAATTTTTCAAATTCTCTTCCCCACCAAATGAAAAAACATGAGAGTGAGTGAGGTGAGTGGTTTGGGTTTAATTAATAAGTTCTCTCTTTTATTTTAATTTTAAGTTATCTTTTATATGCAACAAAAATTAAAACTCTAATATAGTTAGGAATAAATTTATTCCATGATTAGAATAGTAAATCCTTATTACCAAACAAGGTAATAATCCATATGACATCTCATTCAAATTCAAATATGAATTTCATATTTCATATATATTATCTTTACTAATATTAATATTAAATATATATATATATATATAATATTTAAATATATGAATTTATTTAAATATATAATCTCACTAATTTTAATTTCAATATAAAATTAAATATAGGCAACAATCTCAACAAAATTAATTACACTATGAGATTACTAAAATGTTCTTTCATATCGAAAGACAAAAATATCATTTCTATCATAAATGATAAAAATACACTTTCATCGCAAATGATGAAAATACATTTTCTCACCAATTCATTATTAATGTGTCCTCTATGTGTGTGACTCGAGGCTTCTCATTATATCGGTAGTGGGTAGTCTCGTGATTGATACCAATCAATCGTCTCACTAAACACATACCAAGGTTAACCTCTAGCAAGACATCATGGCCATCTGATAGATTCGGATTCAGCGAAACAACTTGCATATCAACAATATGGTTACTGTGCAATTAGATTCTTTCATCGTCTGTTATTTTATCGAGGTTGAGGTACAAAAATAGTGTCAACCTTAGTTATCTTTGATATCTTTGTATTCAGTTACTGGACCAATGACTGAAATAATAAATTGGATTGAGTAACAACTCAAATCTCACTGTGGCCACAGCTTTAGTGTCATTGTCATTCACTGAATTGCGTCGTGAGATAACTTATTCCGTACCCGGGAGTGATGAATCCTTTGTCGATCCACCATGGTTTTGATACGCTCTTCGATGTAGCCAATCACTACCGTATTGATAGTTCTGAATAGAACTACGTTGGGTAGTATCAAACTACACCAATTGGTGCACAAGACGCTCTGGTGATCTCAAGTCTAAGGATCATATGCACCACCATTCGTTAGAGGATTTATTTTATAGACACTAAAATTACCATCCATATGGAATCCTCTGGTGGGTCTGTCCAGTGAACTTGTCTACAGCAAGCAGCCAGGTGTCATCCCAACCTTGACAAGTGAGATCAGTTAATATCTTTCGACAGGGTCGTTCAATACTATGATAGTTTTACTATATTATCTATGTCCTTAGTCATAATAATACTGGGGCTGTGAACATTTCTAGAATAGCCACCATATGTGATCATAAAGTTTTCACTATCAAGATTTGAAACACTTGATATCCTCATCACGTTTCTACTATCATAAAGACATATATCAATACACATAATTATGATTTATATGATATAGAATAAAATTTTATTTTATTGATTAATAAATATTATTTCAGAGAGTCAATTATACAATAATTGATTGACTATAGGATACATACTCTAACACCAATTATGAACTATTACTCTGTGACAAAAAGTTGTGAGATTGGTTTGTTCCATTTTGGATCTAAATGAGTTAAAATCCAGTAAATAACTAATAATCTAGTCTCCAATAGTTAACAGTAAAAGCTCATATTCACCGACAGAAGATAATCCACGTGTAAGTCATCCACCGGTACGACACCTACAAGAAGGCGGTTGCATCCGATCAAATGATCAATACCTCAATGATCTTGACTACCAAAATGACCTTTCAAAAAGTGCATTTCATTTCAATTTCAATTTCCATTTCCCCCTTATTGCTTCATATTTTTATTTTATTTTATTTAATTAAAACCTCCCGATTCTCACACCGCCTATATATCTAAAACAACTCCTTCACGCAACCTCTCTATGCATAAAAAAATCCAATCTACACCCATTGGAATTCAATCTCCTGTAATTTCTCCTCCCATCGCCTTAATTTTAACGCTTTCCATTTTTTCGAATTGATCTGCTTACTTCTGATTTCTTATCCAATTGTTAGGTATATTATCTTCATTTATTATTAGTTTATTCATTCATTTTTAGATTTTTTATGTTTATGTGGTTGGTGATGATTTAGATTATGAGTTAAAGACGTTGAATTTTAGTTTAAAACACGCGCAAATTTGAAATCAGAAAATATTTTTAAATTTTCTGGTTAATGTTTTTGATGATCATATGTTGTATTTAAATTTGTGTTTCATTACAATTACAATAACAAAAGCAAAACGGCAATGAAAACTTCCAGTTTATGCTAGGGTTAATTGCTATAATGGTTTCCTGAAAATGGGTTTATGGTTTATAATTTTGTTGTGATCATTTTAGAATCAAGTCTTGGATAAGAGTGGAATATGAAACGATTGGCAGATCATTGATTTTAGATTATATACAGCCTTAGTGGAGGAGGATTTTATGTTTGTAATTTGATCTTCTGGGTTATCTGCTCTGATTTGTATATTATAGGTTTGTTGTCTTTTATTAACTAGTTCATTTATCTTTAAGTAGCTTTGGTTGAGTTTTGAGAAATGCATATGAAAGGAAACTGAATTGATTTATTTATGCGCGTTTTGTGTGTTGTTTTATAATTTTTTGTTGTTACATTCAGTGTATACTGGTCAGTTACTTTGTAGGTGTCTAATCTATTCTTTAAATGACTACAAATTTGAAAATGAAATGTTTTCTTTGTAACGATCGCTTCTGCTTTCTGGTTTAACTGCAGGTTTTTGGACTCATTCACGATCTTGTGGCTGAGGACGTAGTTATAGCTTGTTTATTCAAGTCTTTAATCCTTCAGCTTTGTAGAACTATTTATTTCTGAACTGTTTGTCACATACTTTGGAGCACTGCATGAGTGTTTGCCTTGTGATCACAAAGTATAAAGATTTCATAGTTTCAATTGTAGCGCATAGAGATTCAGAAGGTTGCGGTAGGAAATCTGCATAGAGTGCTTGTGGTAAGCGTACATGCAATTATTGGAAACACATTATTAGCTGCATTTCAAATCACATTATTGTACGATGGATTCCCTTGCTGACTTCATTTTGTTTAATTCATGTTTAACCATGTTTCATATCTCACATTAGTGTTGTTTATTAGTTAGATTGTTAATGGTTGCAATACATATATGTATAGTTGTCCTATTCAATGGAATCATTTCACTTTGACCTTGTATACTGAAGTTTCATTGGAAGGTTATGCCAGAAAGTTAAGAAAGCTAGTATTTGAATTGATGGATTTATTGCGATTGCTTGATGGACTATGAGTCTGTTAGGGATTGGCTTGAGCAAGAAGGAAGGACTGGGCAGCATTAAAATTCAATGTGGGTTGTGGGGTTTCTTTCTCATTCCACTGATTGCTTACATACGCAATTCTAGAATGATTCAATCATGGTAAAATATTTCTTATGCATCTCAAAGGTACAGATGGGTTTAGATGAGGTTTTTTAGTTTCGCTTAGTCGTACTCATGGTAGCAGTTGTAGGCCTTTCTCCTTGATAAGGCTAGTTCATGTTTGGAATGCTGATTCTTCTTATTTTTGTTCTAGATAGAAGATGTTGGTCTTAGTAAGATGGTATTGAGACAATCATAGAAATAATTCAAGAAATAGAACTGCTGACACTTTGAAATTGATAGAATAATACTCTTTGATTGACACTAGTTGGATTTCAATTTCCAGGGTTTTCATGTGAAGAATTTGTGGGGTACTGTGTCTAAACTGAATTATTTTATGGCAAATTTGATGATGTACTGTGGGCCTTATTGCTTTTATGATTGAAGTAGTGCTGATGCTTAAATGATGATTCTGAAGTGGCTATCCAGCTACTCCTTGCTTAGTTAATTGTAGATAACTTATGTCAGAGAAGTCGTATTACAACTGGTTGGATCAATTTCCTAACTCAATATAGTTTAATAAAAATCATTATGTTGCAGCTTTCTTTTCTGGTTTTGGGCTTGGATTAGGCTTTAGAAAAGGCTAATCATGACAAATTCAAAGCAAATAGGTTTATTCTTTACATGGACTGCTTGCTGAACCAAATTATCTGATTTGAATTTATTATTTTAAAATAGGAAGCATGAAGAATTATGTTGAAAATAAAGAGAAGAATAATGTCCACTATAAAGACAGAATCCTTGCTGAAATGGGGACAATTACCTAAACAGAAGTTATACAATCTTTTTTAGTATAATCTATGCACAAATAACAAAAACAGTGAGACATAATCTGATTCAATATTGATTGGGGCTAGTGAATTATGGTGTTATAGATTGCATACCTTTTATGTTGTTTTAAGATCAAGAAGAGGGAAGTAATAAATTGATGTTGAATAGAAGTTGGTCAAAGAAAAAGTCTTTCTCTCTGCTCCACGTCTCCTGTGATTATCTTTGTTATTTGGTTCTCTTTTACTCGTCAATATATTTGTTTTCAATTTGAGTGACATTTGTTTTACCATTTTGAACTCAACATCTCATGAGTAAGTAATGATTTTGTGCATTCCATTTCATTTAGACTTGTGAGATTGGTACTGTTAAATATGTGGTTCAATTGCAAGTTTTGATGTCCAGCATTTGGTTGATATTTTTGATGAATGAACTATGTTTAGTGGTACTGGTGTTCTGATAAATTCAATATGTTTAGTAACTTAAAACAGTGCATGCAAGATGGCTGGTGTGAAACGAAGAATGTATACTGATTCAGATATTCATGCTCTTCACAAAGAATTGGATGAGGTCTCATGTCCTATCTGCATGGACCATCCACATAATGCTGTTCTCCTCCTCTGCAGCTCACATGAGAAGGGTTGCAGATCTTTCGTTTGTGATACAAGTTACCGGCATTCAAATTGTTTGGACCGGTTTAAAAAATTAAGGGAGAGTTCTAGCAGTGTGACTTTACCTCATTCTTCACCTATAAACTCTTATAATGCTAGTAATACTTATGATGTGAACTTGGCTTTGAGAACTCATTTCATTGAAAGTAATGGAAATCACAATCCTAATGGAAGCAATGGTTCACCTGTTGGATTTTCTGAACAACCAGGCGAAAATAATATTGAAAATGTAGGTAGGCATTTAGAAATTCAAGGAGAAGGTAATCTGAATTTGGAAATGGGGGACTCTGTGTCCTTGCGTGAGAGGATTGAACTTGAAGAGGTAGATGTGGATAGTTCATTAGAATCAAGCTTGAATTTGACATGCCCCATGTGCCGAGGAGCCATTCAAGGCTGGGAGGTTGTAGAAGAGGCCCGAAAATATCTTAACTTGAAGAAGCGATCTTGTTCCAGGGAATCATGCTCTTTTGTTGGTAATTACCAGGAATTACGTCGACATGCTAGGAGGGTTCACCCAACAACCCGACCCTCAGACACTGACCCATCTAGAGAACGAGCCTGGCGACGCCTTGAGCACCAACGAGAATATGGTGATATTGTCAGTGCCATTCGCTCATCCATGCCAGGTGCTGTTGTAGTTGGGGACTATGTAATTGAGAATGGAGAAAGATTATCGGCTGGAAGAGAAAGTGGCACTGGTGAAGTTAATGGACCATGGTGGACTACTTTCTTTTTGTTTCACATGATTGGTTCAATTGACAGTGCTGGCGAATCAAGGGCTAGGTCAAGGGCTTGGACAAGGCACCGGCGTTCTGCGGGAGCTTTATCCGAGCGTCGTCGGTTCCTGTGGGGTGAGAATCTTTTGGGTCTACAAGATGATAATGATGATGACGACCTGCATATATTGAGTGATGCAGGTGAAGATGCATCTCCAGTCCCAAGAAGACGGCGGCGTTTGACACAGTCAAGGTCTGATGAGGACCAGCCATGAGTGATGTCTATTTCTGGTAAATTCTGCTTCGTTACACGACTTTGATATCCACTGGAATTGTATTTCAGATTGCTTTTGGCTGACCCAAATGGTAATTTTACCATCAATTTCCAGTATTATGCAGAAACTGCCTCTCTTAAGGGGAGAAGATTTATGGTGATTAACATGTTTATCAGAAACCATCTACTTTGAGAGAAGGGAAAGCAGGGTCTTTCATTTGGAGATATATTGACTGGGATTGTTTTTAACCTTGATGGGTTTCTGCACGCATGGGAAAGAAAGAGAATACCAGATTAAAATGGTTTACTGAAATTTATGTCCTTTGTATCTAGTGTCTTATGATTTCAACTTTTGAAGTTGTGTTGTATTCCGAATTGGGTTAATTTATATTCCTGTCTGTCATCTCTTTTCGTTTCCATTTGAGCAATTCTACACCTTTTTTACTTGAGCAATAGTTTTAAATTAGTGGGAATGTTTGTTTTATGCATTTAAAGCTTCATAAATGCGGAGTTGTGAAATCTGATTTTGAGAATGACTCCGTCTCGACGACTGTTTTTCAATTGTCTAAATTACTCGATTACTAATTTTGTTTGGAACAGAGAATGTTGGAACTGGTCGTATATAGTATCAACATAATTTATGTCCATTTTCATGATTTAAACATTACCAAATATTTCTGAAGTGGAGAATGAGATTGGTGTCAAATCCAGTGAAAGAAGATTCGTTATCTGGTTAGAGCCACTGTTTTAAAAATCGGATCGAACCAGTCGGTCCAACTAGTTGGACTGGGAATCGGTCATGTGTCCGGTTTGAGTCAACTCCAAAACTGTTATAATACAATGAGCCGCTTTAAACCGTTTGAAAACTGGATAATTTTAGTGAACCTCCGGTCCAACCGGACCAGCGGATAAACCGGTCGAAATTTTAAAAACCCCTAAATCCCTAATACGCAACGTAGTCCTTTCTCTGTTTCTCATCTTCTTCTCTTTCTCAGTTTCTTACGAAAATTTCTCAGCTTTTTCTCTGTTCTCTGTGAAAATTTCTCACCTTCTTCTCTGTTATCTACGAAAATTTCTCTCTGAAGTCCCACCCAAATAGCAACTGAACTCTCTGAAATCACCGACGACATCTTCCTCCCTCGCCGGAAATCGACGACGACAGCTCCGTTCCTTGCTGAAAATCGATGGCGGCAGCTCCATTCCTCGATCCAGGTAATAAACACGCCATTCCTCGATCCAGCTTCAATAATCAATAATGATTTCGTTGCAAACTTAATCTGGAGCAATAATCAATGCGCCATGGCTTTAGTCATTTGTTCATCAAAAAACTTTTGACTGTAATCGTTGTATTCTGTGTAGGCTTGGCTGTGGCTGGAGGCATTTGATTCGCGATGCTTGTGTTTATTTTTGAGTTAGTTTGTTTATTGAGTAGCTGTAAGTCTACTTTGACAATTAATATCTAAATTTTATCTTTTTGTCGCATCTCTGTAATCACCCTTAATTGATGTTTGGGGAAATGCATGTATTATGTAGTTGTCCAATGTCCCATTGAATTTCTTTGTTTAGAGCATACAAAGGAGCCCTAATTCTCAAATATCTAGGATGTATTCTTCACCAGAAATTTAAGTGTCAGCTGCAAAGGAAGTGGATACTTGTAACTTTTGTTACATGGCTACAATATGATCTGTCTGAATTTTATTTCTCAAGAGCAGCTACCTCAAATATGAACAGGTGTAAATATATATGAATTTTGTTTCTGCGCACATCAAGAGGAGAATTAGGTTATTAAGTTGATGGTTCATGTGTAAGTATATATCATCAGAAAGTTTGACTTGAATTGGAGACTTATAATGTTTATGAGGATTGGTGGTACTGTAAAAAAAATTGTTAATATGATTCCAAGCAGTTCTAGAGTGCATTAAGTTGGATTTGAGGGATTTTGCAATGCTTAATGTACTCTGCCCATTAATTGCCCACATGAATGTGCACCAAAATATTGGTCCTAATAATTTTTGAATGCCCATAATATTTCCATTAATTGCCCACATGAATGTGCCGACATCATCATGATGTGTGATGATGTCATTGGTCCAACCGGTTAAATCGTGACCCGGCTATCAGAGTGGGTTGCCCTTCGATCCAGTTTTTAAAACAATGGTTAGAGCCACGAAAGTGTATATTAATTCGTTACATAAACCATTAGTCGGACCCAGCTTGTAAGAGACTAGAACGTTCTTGGCTGTCTGCCACGTCAATTTCTGTCCGGAATACAAGAAGATTGATTCGGGTGAATGAGCTTAGAAATAACCAACAAAGCATAGTGTTAAACGTAGAAGACGTGGAGTGGAGTGTTGCCACCAGATCTATACATTACAGTATTACAGTAGACAAATAGAAACAATCTCACAAACCATTTGTTGGATCCCAAATTAATTTATTATTAAGTAAGAGATACATATTCCTTAATGGAGACAGTTTCCTTGAAACTCTCCCCTTATTCCACATCAAACCCTTGGGACCATGCCACGTCAATCCAAAACCAAGAAATGGATGGTAGAGGCAGTGACACATCAGTCATAAACTCAACTGGGATCGCTCTCAAAACCGGTGAGAAGGAAAGGTAGGAGAAGCAGAAACACACACAAAGACAAAACGCAACAGAATAGACACAAACCACGAGTTGGTTCTCTGGTAATATTAATCCAGAGAACACCACAAGCACTGTGGATAGTGGAAGAATAAGAGCATTAATTAATTAGAGGAAATTTCTTATTCAGCTCAGCTCCCATGTGACCCCACTTGGTGACCACCCCCAATTAAGGCTAACACTATATGGTTTTCATTACGCAAAAATATCTCCTTCTTCACATGCTCACCCAACATATCATTTCAACATTTATTTGTCATTTTCAGCCACATAGACAACCCACTCACTTCCAACTCTAACCATTATTTTAACATAAAACTTCACTTGGCCTTGCTGGCCCCAAAGGAGCTTCATACATAACTTGAATCCCATAGTACAACAAGGTGAACGTGAAATAATTAGAATTATTTAATTATTGGGTCAATAATGTTATCAATTACTTGAACAAGTCTCTAAAAATTTATATTGATGATCCCAAGGATAAAAACAGAATATTTTCCTTCTTACTAGATTATCATAAAAAGTATTTTCGGATTAATGCATGAATATAACCCTACCCTTTATTAGGTCTTAATTTATAGGCCATCACATGTTTGTCGTAAATTTTTCTATCCACCGAAATTTGAATTGAAGCACGTTTGTTCAGGGCAAAAGAAAAATTAAAGTGAAAGAAATCCAAGACCTAAGAGCATTTTTACCTATTGTGTACTGCAATCACTGCTATTTGTCCCCCTAATAAATATTCTCAGTCGAATAATTTAGCTTCTTCTTCACATATTCTTTTTATTTCCTTGATCTGAGTCCAAACCAGAATATTTTAGTCAAGGTTCATGGAACAGAACAAGCAACGTAATATGTTTACTTGTATTTCTTTACCATGAAGAAAGCAAATAATAGAATTGAAGTAATGGTTGGCAACTTGCTATACGTTTTGGGATTAGCTGGGGCTTATTTACAATGATTAATATTACCTGAACTTACTCCAATGAAAGCGTAAGCGTTTACACTAACTAGCAGGCAAAAATTGAATTACAAAAGTAAATGGAAATCAAAATCAAATTCGTAAAAAGTGGCACATCATGAAGGGACCACAGAGATGAAACAAGTGTATGGCTAAGAGTAATGACACAAGGGCTAGTTCTAATTGGGTGCTTAAATTGACTAAAATCCTTTCCTTAATACCCACCACATGATCGTCTTATATAATACATTGGCATGTTACAAAGAATCCCAAGCCAACCTTCCTCTACTCACTGCCTAGTTGTCTCTTCATCTTCCTTAGATTCACCTCCATTTTCTTTGTCTTCTTCTCCCCCAAAACCCTCTTTGTGTAGACAGGAATCTTTTAGCATACAGACAGCACAGATAGATCTTTCATTGCTGTCCATTTGACCAATTTTTTTTTATCTCTACTCTCATATTACACTATATATAATTAGGACTCTCAAAATATCAAGCTGAACATGCAGGTGAGCAAAGTATACACATAATATTAATTAAAATTAATACCATTCACATCAAGGCTTATGTTTATAAATAATCACCCTGAATTGTAGCAGATTTTTCAATGGCTCTTGAAGGTAACACCTCAACAACCAAGAGACATTATTTCATCTTCTACGAATAGGAGGAGTCCTACTTATAATGGTAAGAAAAACCCTTTTTCATAATTTGCATTGCTTACATTATAATTAACTGGAAAATTAACTCTGTAATTTCTGTTTTGTTTACTATTTTATCAGGGAAAGATGCTAAATCAAAAGATATAATCTTATATAAGCATCGAAGAAGATCGAAGAGAATTGAGTACTGCTGCAAGCCATTTGCATTTTTATATAGAAAAGATGTTGCAAAGTCTTGTTTCTATAGCACTCTGAATTTAAGAAGAGTTGGAAGAGAAAATAGAAGGCCGCATTGGATCCATTCTATGAAGACAAAGAAAGAAGATATTGTTCAAGGATTAGGTAGCAGTAGTCACAAAACAGATTCAACAACTCATGCTGCAGCTGGTAATAAAGTTTTACCTATAACTGACTCCACATTATCATCCTCCACCAATACAAACCAGCAACAAAGCACACAAGAAAAAAAAGAAAACAAGCTTGATAAAACCAGAACAATTTCAAGAATGAAGGAGCTGCTTAGATGGGCTGCTGCTACAAAATCAGAGAAGGGAGGCAAATTTATTGGCAGAAAGGTACTACGATCTGGCCACAGTAATTTTTTTAGCTAGAACATAACTTTATAATGCAAATATTACTTATTTTTATATATTCTTTGACCCTCCAGGTTCTTCAGTTTCGCAATCGATCAGCCTTGAAAGCAGTACCAGATGATGAGCAGCTAAACATTGAATCTCCTAAGATAAGTTTCAGATGGGAGGTGGAAAGTTGCTCCACCACTTCATCTGTCTACTCTGGAATTTCAATGGCTTCTTCATCGAAGAATTATGATCACCAAACCAATACAGTATCTTTGAATTCAACTCCTATTCATGACATAAATCATTTCACTCCAAGAAAAGGAAATTGGATCACCACAGACTCTGAATGTAAGATCTTCACCCCTCCACATACATCTCTCTCTGCATTAATCCACTTGAATATGAAGTAATTCTTTAAATTCTTTGTGCAGTTGTGGTGCTAGAGCTATAAAAGAAAGACCTAAAGAAGCTGAAGAAGATATGATTGATCTTGCATGGAATTGAGTCAAATTCAAGTACTATGGGCAATTGTTATAACGAGTATTGGTAGATGGGTTTGGTTCTATTTCTAGTTATGTGGAGATGCTAGAGAGAATTTAATTGTGTAAACATCAATGGAAGGATCTGAAATGTAACGAGTATTGGTACATTGCATGCATGCTTTACCTAATTAACTGATTATATCTTCCATTAGCATTAACAAGAAAAGCGGAATGTCTGGCGTAGATTAACCTTTAATATTTAGGAATTGATGTTCAATATTGGACTCATCACCTAACGCATAAACATATATGTTCATTATCTGTTCAAGGGTCTAATGTCCATTGCTTTCACTTGTTAAAAGCTAGCTGTATATATCTTCATAATATTAAATGAAGAATTATATCGATTCCAATAATATCATATTGATTAATTTCGTTTCTGATAAATAAAACTGTACCCACTCCACACCACATCAGAAACACACAATATATAATCTGAGACTCAGAGAGACTCTCTCAAACATTAATTCTTATTCCTCTAAGAAGCTACATTTTATAATGCGTCTGACCTGTCGGATATAAAGTTCATATATGTTTAAGAGAGTTAATGACTTTTTCCCACTCAAATAATGGTTTAATGATAAAATTTTAAAATATCATTTTAATATTAAATTTATATTTCGACGACGAACAGAAGAAACTTGGTCTAGGTGTGAGATTTGAAGAGAGAGATCAATAAGTCTTTTGGTGGTGAATGGAATTGGATTTGGTGGTTGAGATTGATTGTAATTTAACTTGGAAGGGGCGACTAAGAAAACCGTAGTTGCTCAATTGCTGGTGATTGGCGGGGTCGACGGGAGTTGGGTTGAGGGGTTTTGGTGAGTGATGATTGGGGAAGAAAATTGTGGTGGTGTGGGTGCAATGATTTCGTAACGAAAACGAATATAAATTTAGTAGTAAAATAGTATTTTAAAAGTCTGTATGTGGAAAAATATCATTACATATTATTTAGGTGGAAAAAAGTCATTTACTCTGTTTAATCCTGCCACCATTTTGGCTTGACAATCGGGGACATTGTCTTATATTATGTCTATGAAAATTAGACTGAAATTTGGACCATATATAATTTTTTTTCTATTTTTCCCACATGAATTGCCTCAAATCTAATAAAATAACGATGAGTTTGAAAGATTATTTCCTTTTGGCTGATATTCAAGTATATATGTGTTTGTATGCAAAAGCAAATTAAACATTTATTGTTGTATGTTCTACTTCTAATGGACATTATTCATTTCGGAAATGTTAAGGAGAAGAATGTGCAAGTGGGCCATTTATTAATGGAGAGTAAGACAGTAAGGGTGAAGCGATTTTCAGCACGGGCTTGGCGTTGGCCCAGCATGAACTTTTCCATTTCCAATTTTGCTCATTTACTTTTTGTAGTAATACCGACAAATCATAACACTGTAATCTAAACATAGTAAACTCGTATCCATTATGGCATTATCCACCTATAAAAAAAAAGCCAACATCATTAATTGTTAGTCGTGATAACTTGGAAATCTTTTTCACAATCTTTTCTTTACAAATCATCAAATATATGAGCTTCGTACCCTTCTTTATATTTTATCATAAATTCTCAATTATTTGTCATTCTCATGAGCCATACCATTGGCTTTACGTAGATCCAGAGACTGAGTCAATCTGAAGCAAGGCATGAAAAATACGAGTTAAGAGGCATTTGTCTCGACTATTAACTCATTTGAAAACGAAAGCAACCAAAGCCACATATTTTAACTTGCCCATCTCCTTCATCTCTGTATATTTCTTTCTCATTACCGCTCTAATTCTAACTAATCCCAACCACTTCTGCCCTCTTTCTTCTTCGAGAAAAAAAAAAATGTCTGATCACAGCCCTTACCCCAATTTCAACATCCTTAGCGTTGACGTTTCTGAACAAATTCTGTCACTGCTTCCAATCCCAACTCTAATTCGCGCCTCTTCTGTCTGTAAATCTTGGCACTCCATCATCTCCACTCCTTCTTTCTCCTGTCTCACGCGCTCCCTGCAAAATCGACACCCTTGGTTCTTTCTCTTCGGACTTCACAACACTAACTCGAAGAATAATCAATCTTTTGCCTTTGATCCCGTTTCCAATTCTTGGTTTCAACTCCCTGCAACTCAGGAGTCTCCCGGTGGTTGCTTTATTGGTGCTAATGGGTACTTTTTTACTACCACTCCAAGATTCAGTTACTGTAAGATTTTGAAGATGTTTTGGCGTCTTACTGCCCCGCTTAAGTTTTCTAGAATTAATCCTCTTGTGGGTGTTTTTTATGATGATGAATCTTGTAATTCTTCTTCCGGGTTTGAGGCTGACGTGCCTAAGTTTATTGTTGTGGGTGGCGTGAGGTTCATCGGTGGGTTGGTTGATATTGAGGACAGATTGGCTGTGGAGATTTATGATCCCAATTTGGATTCTTGGGAGTTATGTCCGCCTTTGCCGGCGGATTTCCCCTCAGGAAATTCAAGTCAGAACTTGTCTTCTGCATTGTTTAAAGGGAGATTCTATGTATTTGGTATCTATTCGTGTTTTATTTCGTCTTTTGATTTGAAAAATCATGTTTGGAGTGAGGTACAGACTCTAAGGCCTCCTGGGGTTATTTTTTCTTTCTTGATTGCTTGTCAAGATATGCTTGTTTTGGCTGGAATGTGTAATGCGCCACATGGACCGTCGTTTAATCTGTGGAAGATTGATCAGAACAGCATGGAGTTTAGTGAGATTGCAATTATGCCTCATAATTTTCTGTATGGTTTGGTTGATAGCGAAGAGGATGATAAATTTGCAAGCTTGAAATGTGTGGGGCTTGGTAATCTTATATATGTGTTCAATGAGGAGTATCATAAGAAGTATCCTGCTTGTGTTTGTGAGATTAGTAGCGAGTCTGGTAAGTGTAGCTGGAGGAGGGTGCCTCAATTGCCATTACCCGTTAATAAGTTTCATAAGGTCATTAGCTTTTGCTCAATGGTTTCACTTCATGACATTCTCAACCATGAGGAGGAAGAGATTGGCCCTGTCCTAGCTATGTCCGACTGAGAATTCATCTATTTGGCATGAATAGACCTTGATTTCCTTCTATCTTGTGAATGATTTATGTTATTATAGCATCTTAAATAGCATTAGCTTATTTATTGTAGGCAAATAAATGTAGTTCCTATATTATCTGTTGGTGACCACTTGTATTGAATAGATCGCAGCAACTGCCTCTTCAGAAGAGTTCTTTTAATTAGCTTTGAGTTATTTATTTAGTGTATATGTTTTGTATGAATAAATTCATCTTGTGAACTGTCTCTATGAAGGAGTGTCTTACGATAAGGGATATGTTGTGATCATAAGGGTTATCAAAATCTGTACATTTTTTGCTGACTTTTGTAGTTACTAGTAAAAGAAAATGACACGTCCCTTTGATTTACTGGTAATTTAAACTAATAATTTATGGGCTTCATGTTTTGGACATTTAAGGATGACCTTAGTCCATTGATTTGTGCAATATCCATTGCATATCAGTTCTCAGAACTAACAGCTCTGATCTCTTTCAGTGGGAACTATTCTTTATTACACTTGGAGAGGTTTTGTGGTCGACGACCTAGAACTCCACTGAATGTCAAGTTCTTAATTCCTAACCTTAACTTCAGAATATCTCTATTATCTTAGTATTACCTGTACTGTTAATGGAAGCTTTACTGGTTTTTTTCTTTTTTGTCAGGTCCTTTATTTTACTAGTTAGAAGTTCACAGACATATGTAATTTGTGCATGTGTTCACCAGCACATGTATGAGCATGTTCTAGACAGTGTATTCTAAAGCGGTTTGGACTGGCAAGCAGCTCCTGCTGTGTCTAAAAACCATGTTTCCTCAAAGCCAAGTTCCACTTTGTTGTAACACAAACTAGCTAGTTCCAGTTAAGTTAAGGTGATGTTTAGTCTCACCAATGACATGAGCTGATTACCACTCTGTAGAGGTGGCAAATATACACACCTTGATGGCTCAGAAGATATTGTAGAGTTGTTTGATAATGTAGTAATAATATATCAAGACAAACTTTAGTTGTAATAGTTTTTTTATGACATAATGCTGCTTGCAAAAATGTGGCCCTGTTGTGAGCCTTACAGTCTTAAAGAGTTTTGGACTTGCACGCAGATGCAACCCTTCTGGCCATTGTTCAAAATCAATGCTTCTCTAACTCAGCTTCCTGCTTGTAATAGCACCAACAAACAAGTTCAGTTATGCTGATGTTATGTTTCACTGTATACATAAAGCACAAGCTGATGATACCACTTGGTAGAGGTGGTCAGAAGACTGTCTTAATGGCTCATTTTGCAGGATTAAACCACCATGCAAATACACATTGGAACCACCTTTAAAGCTATGTTACTGCCTTGTATTTTATGATTAAGTTATTCATAAGGATTATCTTTGAGTTGCTTCTGATGAAATCTTTGTTCGTGTTGAGGTGAAAATATAGCAACATCAAGGCTTCTTGCTCACACGCTTTATGGGTTAGTCCTTTTTGCTCTGTTAAACACTAGTGAAGACGAGTGTATTCTGCTTCTTCCCTTTTGTATTTTAGTGAAGGAAGGAGGATATTCATATACTGCTGTTAAACGCCAACCATTTTCAGTTTCCAATTTCCAGTCACATATGAATTTATTTCTCAAAATTTAATTTCATGACAATGTTGCACAATTCAACTGATGGGTACGAAATTACGGTATATACATAAGAAATGGGTATGTTGATGCTACTGGAATGAGGCGTTTCATTAGCTGTTGTCTGCCCATTTTATAAAATCTCTCATTTTGCAATCCTAAGAAGATTTTTTCTGGGGATGGAGATGATGAAATTGGATTAAGTCAGGTGTTTTTATGGGCGATTAGCCTGATTTATTTACCTTCTATAAACCTCCTAGAAACTGTAGGGTAATGGTGTTTCAGATCCTACCGTTTACTTAGTCACAATTATTTGTCCAAGTACTTTATCTTCACTGGGAAGGCTCCATCTTTTATAAGTTCTTGATTAAGTTGATTCTGACTAGCTGAAGATCTTACCTATGATTATGAAAGCAATTTGCGGAAAACTTGAGGATGTTTAAAGTTTAAACTACTGTAAGCTTGTGTATTTTTTTATCATTTAATAGTTGATTCTTTCTTCTTTAGTTAAGTTTCGTGTGTTTAGCTTGAAGTTGGCTCAGATTTCTGAAAGGAGAAAGCGTTGTATGCGGCCTTTTATGAATTGTGCAATGATTTATTCCATGAAAGTAATTGGGGTGAAATGATGAATGGATCATATTGTGCGGTTTGAACATCTTGAATGCTTTGCTTTACAGAGACTTATCCATTCGTTCATGCAGGCTTATCAAAATGATTCAATGAATGTACTGATCTCCAGTAACAATTATACTAAGCATTTATAGTTACACCATCTATCACCAAGCACAATCTATGACTTGGTTTGGCTATATCATTGTCACTTTGTTCGTATCCTTCTCCAAGAAACTGCTATACAATTGAAATTTTGCCTAAGCAGGGATCATTTTATATGAAAATTTTGTTTTGTTTTGTTTTTTTTGTTTTTTTTTTTTCAGAATTTAAAAGTGGTACTTGTGCCATTAAAATTGTAGTACATGATTCATGGTTTCATTCTCATCCCCCGACTGTCAAGTTGATTTATGCATAAAGGTGTTGGTTATATGCATGAATATTCATCACCTGTAAATTCTAAAACTCAGCCTGAAACATGCTTAGCTACCAACATACAATCAATAAATCAGTAACTATAAAATTCACTCTCATCATCCACCTTAAATTTTATCATCATTCATAACATTTAGGGTGCATTTGGCTCAGGGAATGTTGAATTATTGGAAAGTTAGATTCCATTGAAGATTACTGGGAATCTTTAGAAAAATGTATTTGGTTTGTTGGAATAAATTAGTGGGTATGCTTTATTAATATGTTTGGTTGGGAGAAATAAATTGGTGGGTATGTTATTTAAATTACTGAATTATCCTATAATTAAATATTATTATTATATTATTTTTTAATATTGATTATTATTTGGATTATATAACCCCCATGCGTTTAAAAACTTAGCAAAAACAACCTCATAATAAAAGTTTGGAAAATCAACAAAGCACCCTCACCAACCTAGCAATTACTGACCGTCGTTAACCAATGTCAGTCGTTGGCAATCGGCAACCTAACGGCGCATGGAAGGTCCGAAATGGTCGTCGTGCGCCGATATGGCTATTTCCAGCAAGATATCTGGCCATCAACAGCTAGATCGTGGTGGTTGTCAGCAACAAGCAGCGGTAGGTGGGTGGGGGTGGTGGTTTGGGTGGGTTACAATTTGTCTTGAATTCAAGAGTAATTTTGTCTAAAAAGTTAATTAATTGGGGTGAAATAATAAAAGCAACATTCATGTAAATAAATTTAAAAATAAGGGTATTATTGTCTTAAAATTTTATTAATAAGGGATAAAATTATAATAAAAAAAGATTATCCTGATAATTTTATAATACTTAAAAAAATGAAAGTAATCAAATTGTCTTTTATATTACTAACAATAACTACTTTTATTTAAAGATTATTAGAATCTTATATTACTTAACAATCAAACGTAATAATTAAATAATATAAAAACATAAATATAATAATTAAATAATATAAAATGATACAACTCAGTAATCCCACCTTATCCCAACCAAACGCCCCCTTAAGATCCATAACCGAACAGGAATAGCTACATGCAACAACGTTAATAAACTCTAACGTGTTATCATTATCACTAACAACATCCCTTTAAAAATAAAATAATATAATACAAAAACTCAATACGCCCTGCTTCCTCAGCCTCAAGAAAACTAATGCAAGAACCACGAAAACACACCATAACCAATCCCAGTTCAAGTTTGTACACGCGCTCTCTCTCTCGCGTGAGGAAAGGCTGTTACTCCGTACCCTGAAACAACAAAACCCAATAAAAAACCAAAGTTTAAAAATATGATGTAAGGCAAGGCAGAGGTTTTAGCCTTTACTTTCTTTATCAAACAAATCTCTGCAACTTTGCTAGGGTTTTAGCTTCACAAATGGATAGATACCAGAAGGTGGAAAAACCGAAACCCGAGTCTCCCATAAACGAGAACGAGATCCGTATCACAACGCTAGGCGCTATCAGAAATTACATAACCTATGCGACTACTCTTCTTCAGGTACCCTTTTCATATGAATATTATTGTATTTGTTTGTGGAGGTGTTTCTGCGTTTGTTTTTGTGAGTACTCATTGGTGGTGTCTGTGTTGCGGATATTCGGCTTGAGTACTAGGGTTTTGTGCATGGGTGGCTTTTAAGGATTGTGAGTTTCTGTTTGTTTTTTGTTGATTGATGATTCTAATAGTCTGTATTTTGATGGATTTTGAACCAATGGTATGATTATTTGATATGGTACTTGGGTTACTTTTGGGCTAGTTATTGTGTATTAATAATGAGTTTTGGATTGGTTTTTGTAATGTTTGGATGATATGTTTCTAATTAATAGTTCACACTGTTGTTGTTATTGGATTTTATGCTATAAAGCGCTTGTAGATTGTTCGTTGTTAAGCGCTCCATTTAAAGAGTTTTCTTGTGTTTGTGATCATTTGTTTGGTGTTTTTCTTTTTCCCTTATGGGTGAATTAAGGATATTATGCCCCAGAAGAATGAAAAAAAGGAATCAAGATGAGACCCTGAATCCATTGATATTGAGTCCTTTTAGGAATATCCTCCTGAAGTTTGAATGGTCGTTTGTGCTTCTATGTACGGGCTAGTCGATTTGCACTACGTTTCTCAGAATGAATGTTGATAGTTGCGATGCTTACATTTTGCATTAGTTACACCTGGTTGTCCACCTGCTTCTTTTATTGGACTTTCCCTTTAACTTCTCAGTATGTGCTGAGTCTTCACATTCCCTAGTTGAATGTCTTCAGGCATCTGAGAGAATTACATCTAAAAGCATATTACTGCTCAAGTTTGTTGTTGCTTTTGATTCATTTGCTGAACCCACTTACATTTGGAAGTCATGGCATGGTTTTACACTTGAACTACATTTTACGAAATTGGTTGTTTAGGTTTATGTTTGGGCAGTTTCCAGACAGTTGTCTCTCCCTCCCCTTTTTTTCTCAGCTCTACTTGTTATCTGCTGGTCTTATGCTATCACAATGGTTAAGAGTGGTCTTATGTTATCAGAATGGCTAAGAGTGATTGTT